GATTATGTACATGCGAACGGTCTCCCCCTAGTGACAAGGGTGCATTAGTTAATATAGTGTGAATGATTTTAGGATTTTATTAGCGCTCCACATTGAAAATATGGCATGAGCCCCCCCCCCCCCCCCCCCCCCCCCCACCTATTGATTTTCGGAGGCCTAAGTGTCGGGAAAAAATAACCGGTCTACATTTCAGCACGCCTCCCTGAAAAAATTCTGGATCCACCGTGCTAGCCCCCCCCCCCCCCAAATGTTGGTTCTAGATCCACGCCTGCTACCGGTATGCGTTGACTGTAGGTGATTGATAAGCCAGCTGTGCCCACCACTTGCGTTGCACATGTTCGACCGTACATTCACGACTGCTTTGACAATACCATGAATCATGGAGGTAGTTGTCTAGTGTGAATTTCTGCTTTGTGTTTTTTTTGTGTGAGTGCCTTTGAATGTCATGTCAGTGACTCGACCCACTTCGACTGAATATCGATCCTCGTGGTCATGAGTGCAGGTGCTGTATATAGAAACATGATCTCACGGTCATACATGTAAGCGCTCGTCTGTGGGGGTGTTTGTTTGTTTGTTTTGGGCATTAAATTAAAAAAGTTTGGTCACTGGCAAAGAGTGAAATTATGGTCGGACATTGAATGTTTATCGATCATTTTGACAAATTTATTTGAACAAACTTGGCACCGTAGCTTGGTTTCCTGGCAAAGTAGGCATTGTTCTGAAAGGTTTGGGTCTTTATTAAGTCTCGTCCTCGAATGTACCGTACTCTAACCCCGACCATATTGACATGACGATAGTTGTCGAGGGTGAGAGGGTCGAGTCATTCCATTTACGATGATCTCATCGCCTCGCCACTGTGACTGACGCATTCATCATCATCGACATCACAGCACGACGTCGCTATCACGTGGACCAATTGTTAATCAATAATCTGGAGTCTTGCTCCTATCTTTACATGCACTGCGTGGTCTCCATGATGATGCTTGCTATTCAGGCTAGAGGATTGGTGCGTGACCCATTTCCAAGACCATTACATCATTGCCATGCCTAGATGACTGAGTTAATAACACAGTCACCATCACCAGAGCATGTTGCTATTGATATTGTGGACTTCAAGTTCAAGTTGTCTTGCAGTATGCACTCTAGTCATTACAATTACTTTGTGCAAATGGTGATGCCTGTACATAATCTACATGTATATGGGCAATTCCATGGTTACTCACGCTACATTTTTGATGTAATTTTGAGTCTCCTTGGGCTGTAAGTGTAATTACCTTACTGAGAAGGTTTAATAACTGTTGTCCCCATGGTCGATAGAGTAGACCTAGACCTACCTAAGCACCAAAGATGACATCCAGAAAAATGTGTTAAGTGTGATAAACAAGACGCACAAAATCGTATACTCGCGTTACCAAAATTTAACGTGAGTAACCGATTTTGTGCGTCTTGTTTATCACATATAACACATTTTTCTGGATGTCATCTTTGGTTCTTAGGTAGGTCTAGGTCTACTCTATCTACCATGGGGATAACAGTTATTAAACCTTTTCAGTAAGGTAATTACAGCCCAAGGAAACTCAAAAGTACATCAAAAATGTGACGTGAGTAACCGTGGAATTGCCCATATGATGTACATGGATACATGTGTACATGCCTACTGGTACATGTGTGTACCAGTACATGTACCAGGGCCCAATTTCACGGCGCTGCTAAGTACACGATTTTCTGCTAACAGAGCCTCCGTCTACTTCATGGAGACCGTTAGCATTTAAGCACAGCAAAAGGCACGCTTACTTCAGAGGGAAAAATTGCTTAACTTAGATTCCGCCCCCCCCCCCCTAAGATCTCGGCCATCGAGTGATGAAAAATTTTGAAACTCTGTATATCATGCATAGAGCAACTCTTTCTAAACATATCCAAGAAATTTCATGACTATAGGTCAAAGGGTTTTGGAATTATGGCTAATTAATTATTCACAAATTATGAATGGCAATTCTGCTCTGTATACACGACGTATATATGGGAAAATTCAGTTTTCACTGGAAAATTTTTCGCTACGCGACAACCCGTGGTCCGATTTTTATGTTTCTGGTATCAAAAGATCCACAAAGCTCGAGGCTAAAAAGTCATAACAGCTCGGGTCGCAAAAATTTATTTAAGAGGCTATCGCGGAAAATGTTGAGGGGGCCGCCCCCCCCCCCCCGGCCCCTTTAGGGTTAAGGCGATAGAAGATTAATCCCCCCTTTTTCAGACGTCTAGTTTTGTGTAATTTCGTGTTACATATATTACATGCTAACGTGTGCAAAATGAACCTGGAAATTACACGAAATTTAGACGTCTGAAAATACATGATGTGCATGTATACATGTACGAAAAACCAACAGTCTCTTACATGTAATTGGTTGCCCTTTGTATCCATGTTGCACCATCATCTATGTACTATGGCAGCCGTTGTCACGGTGACCTCATCCAGGGGTTAGAAATCTCAGCTTTGAAGCTGATATCAGCTATCTTTAGTTTTGGATTTCAGCTTTTTTCAGCTTTTTCCCTCACTTGCTGTGTACAAGAGTATAGCAAATTTCCAAAGTTCAGCTTTTTTAACACCTTTTCCAGCTGTTTTCAGCTCTTTTCATCAGTGTTCACTCACACCCCTGTCAATCCTCGGCCACATTAAGAATATTACCGTATGATCTCATTGCCGCACGTGGATGATGAGGTGTGAATTCATCGCGCGCGGACTGCTTATAATCACAGCTGTGTCGACCTTTTGTTCCTTTTGGGCCGTTCTAGCATTTGGGCTGCATTATAATATGGAGTTTGCCCGATTGTAATCTGTCCTATCTTTGTTGTCATTGTGAAATTATTGGTTTTTAGGGCCGCCCGACTTTGGAGTTTGATTCATGGACAAGATATCGGCTCCCTACTGGCACAGTGTTTGATACCATTGTTATCCAAAAGGTATCCGTAGCTAGATGCTGTATACTGCACATTTACAAGAATCATATTAAAGGGAAGATAATTTGCAAACATCACAAAACGAAAAATGATCAAATTATCACGAAGTACCTTACTGGATTGTTAGGGAATGACAGTCTAAAGCATCCTGTAAAATTGTGGCTCCTGGTGTGCTGACATTTTCAAGAAAAATGGAATTTTTCCAACGCTGGTCGGCCGACCAGCATTGGAGAAAACTTTTTTTTTCCCCTTCAAAACTGCTCCTAATTTTTCATAATTAGTTATTCCACATTTTCTTTGCAATTGATTACACACCTGTGAAGGGGTATAAACCTGCTAGACTGACTTGACTCTTTGACCTTACAATTCCCAGAGTCTATAAATTGCTCCGTTTCATCTTACGTGGGGTCAGGGAACCAGACTATAAAAACATGATTGGTTTTCTTGGTTTTTCCAGCATCTACAAGACCAAAACGTGATAATAAGTCAGTTTAACAATATTTGCTATGTTACTGATCCTCCAAATTCATTGATCTCCGAAAATTACAGCAAAAGCAAAGGTTGTACATTCCCTTTAACCCTAACAGGGATACAAATTAGAACTGTCACAAACCGTCAAAAAACCTATCCACTTCCCCTCTCATGGCATAATGTTGTAGAGGCTGGTCACCAACTGCCAGGACCCTCATGGATTAAACCACATAACTGTCAAAGCCTGTGCAAGGAATAACTTTGATAGATGGAGGGTGACCTTGAATATTGGTACAACTTGGGTAGCGGACAGCAATGCCTTTTGTTTTTCTGGGATATCATGATTGAACCTTTTGTGCATTAATTGTTACTGAATTACATGTGAATCCATTATTGACAGGCGGCACTCACTAGCGCTGACCCACCACATCTATCAATGTTAGTCAAGGCGTGGTACCCTCAGTTAAAGGGAAAATACAACATTTGCAAACACCGAAAAATAAAACTACCAAGTTTTTACGAAAAACCTTACGAGTATGTTGGTAAATGACAGTCTAAAGCATCCTGTACAATTATGGCACCTTGTGTGAAGTCGTTTTCAAGAAAATGGTATTTTTGTACACATTTCCAACAGTGGTCGGCCGACCACCGTTGGAAAAAACCTAACTATTTTTCAACTACTGCTCCAAATTTACCATTTGTTTCAGTCCAAATTGTGTTTGCTATTGGTGACATGTTCATGAACGGGTGCAGGCCAGCTAGACTGGTTCCTTTACCTTACAATTTCTGGCATCTATAAATTGATCCATTTCATCCTTAGTGGAGTCAGGGAACCAGACTACTTGAACATTTTTGTTTTTCTTGGTTTTTCCAGCATTTTCGGACACAACACTTCAAACATGTCAGCGTAACAATATTTTGATCTATTATACTAACCCCTTCACTATTTCATTTCTGAAAATTACAGCGAAAGCCAATGATGTACATTCCCTTTAACAAAACTACCACAGCTTGTCCATTATACCAATATGAGCCCAGAACTGTTAACCACTTCGCGCCGGGATTATTTTTGCCGAAAATTTTGATTTTCGCAGCAGGCAAAATTTTCCAGCCAACTTCTGATAAACAGCCAAACGCCTCAAATACTGTTTCTTGCCGAAACCTAATATGTATCAAAACTCTGGAACATAAATTGTAGAACAATAGGCCGTGTACAGCGGCCAATTCAAGATCAACCCACGGTCCGCCTCCACAGACTTTTACGGACTGCTGGTGACCGTGTTAAAAGTATAGCAGTAGACGCAAATTTTGACTGTCTGTGACTGTTTAAATAACAGGAGAGTTAAACCAAATAGTTGTTTCAGGCAGCAATTGCACTTGTGTAACAAAAAAATCCCCGTTTTCATAACTGATCTCATTAGGGTTTGCAATTGCCTATAAATCTTAATACGACTTGTAATTTGTGCAGCTACCGGTTTCTGTACGTTGGAAATAAATGAACTTTTTAAATTAGTACGAGCTTCTGTAATTTAATGTTCTTGTTTGTTTTGGTTGGTTATTTTTTAACTTTGCAGGTAAAACATCAATAGAAAATGGCGGCACGAGTAAAGCAGCAGTATGCCCGGAACCTCACTTTGCCAGCCCCGGTGAGTATTAAACCCGAAAGAGGCGGTAGTTACAGGGTAATTTATCTCTCCCATTCGATCGCAAAAAAACTGCGATGTCCAATTTTTCATCTTGGGTTGGTTGCGTGCTTGAGATGGAGATAGTTTATTAGATGCCGTAAGTTACAAATCATTTTTGTATAAACAAGGTACTGCGAATCTGGTGCAGACGTGGCTTTCGGCAATAGTTTGAACTTGATCCAAAGCCGGTTTTATGCACAGATGTGCAATGTTCAATATCATAAAGGTTACCGGTAGTAAGCAGAAGAAATAAACCAACTGGAGCAGAAAGGTATTGTTATTGTTTTAAAGAGGTTGTGGAATGCTCGAAGACATTTCCATCATTTTTCGGGTATATGTAGCCTAAGGTGTGATGAAATAAAAACTACTATTGTTTCTGGCATAAAATATGTACCAAAGGTACTTTTGAGAGCTGTTTTTCAAGTCCTGTCATGCCTGTTTCGACCCGAACGTGCAATTTGTGTAAAAGTCGTCGTTGCGGGCAGCAAACAAAACACAGTAAATCGTGACGTAATAAACAGGACTCCCGATGCAGAGTAGCATAAACGAGTCCTGTTTATTACGTCACGATTTACTATGTTTTGTTTGCTGCCCGCAACGACGACTTTACACAAATTGCACGTTCGGGTCGAAACAGGACCTGAAAAATAGCTCTCAAAAGTACCCTTTATACTCATTTCATGACAGAAACAATAGTTGTTTTTATTTCATCACACCTTAGGCTACATATACCCAAAATATGACGGAAATGTCTTCGAGCATTCCACGACCTCTTTAATGGTTATTACGTGCAGGGTTCCAAGTCACTCTGGAAAATCAGGGAGAACCTTGAAAATGAGTTTCAATACTTCCAGTCATAAAAAACTTCAGGGAATTCGGGGAAAACACCAAATATCAGGGAAAATGTCCATTGACTGACTGGCTGAGAGTTTATGTGGTGCGAATATTAGCCACACCTCTCTAGACGATAACAATTGGCTGTGATACACAACCTCTTGAATTCCCAGCAACCTTGTTACAAAGTGAAAATATTTCTCATGGGTTTTTGGACATGTCTCTTACTCTTAGGGAAATATTAGGGAAAACTGGGGGAATTTTGTTGTTTTCCTAAAGTCCAGGGAATCAAAATTCTGCCAGCTGCACTATTTTCGACACCAGGAAGTACATGTACATGTATGAGGGATATCAAAACTAATACCCACATGTTCACAAGTGCTGATTGGGTGAAATGTGTTTTGCCCAACTGCCTACTGGTAATAGCGATACTTCCCAGAAAGTACCCTGGATTTGTTTTTTTTCTTCGTTTTGTTCCCGTTTCCTTTCAATTCTGCTTCTGCTTTGGTAAACACCCTCAGGAGGGCTATAAACATGCAGGCGATGGACCGGAGGGATGAGTAGTGAAGCGACGATAAGACCCTTTTTTGTTGCTAGGATGCAGCCTCAATCCTGCAAAATCCTCCAACTGCCTCCATGCAAAAATTGCACACAGCCTCAGTCCTCCAAAAACCTCCGTTATTTCTTGAATGTGGTCCTTTGAGGGGTGACCACTGCACTAATCCTGCAAAATCCTCCAGCAATCACTGTCAATATGTTGAGGCAGAGCCAGTGACATCCTGGAGCAGTGTGGAGGATTTAAAGTATAATCTGCACTAAGACCTAAATTTATGCACGGCTGAGCGTAAACAACACAAGGTCCTGACACCAAAACCCTGACACAGTGCATCCTCCAAAATCAGCCACACTTTTTGACCATATAGCCCCAATCCTGCAAAATCCTCCATTTTGCAAAGAGGATTTTGGAGGAAGGTTAGGATTAATTTAAAGAAAACAAATGACTAATATCTCAAGTATTAAATGCATCTTGAACCAGAGGGCATACTGAGCAAGAAACCTGGGTGAAGTATTGAAAAAAAATCTGCAGAAATAAATTGAAGGGAAAAATCAAAATAAAATCGACCTCTAGATGATTGGTTAACAGAGAGCTTTGAATATGAATGGAAATACTCACAGATACATAATGAATTTAGTTTAAATTGATTTTAAAGCATTGCTAGGAACATGATCTTGAATAATTGATCATTTGATCCCAAAAATGTTTGGAGATTAAAAAAAAGACGCCTTCTTGATAAATCCGTGGTTTTCCAGTATCTCTTTTTTTTTTTCAGTTGCTAAAAGTGCATTTCTACTGGTTGTAAAAACAGTAGTTAAATTGGGAAGCTGCATTGTATTATGATTAATATAAAAATGCAGGTTTTTTTCCCATTGTTATGTATATTTTGTGAAGTTCAACAAAGTAAGGTACCATAGCAAAAACAGTATTCCCGGAGCATATGTGCAAACTACAGCTAATTCAGTTTGCGGGGAAAGGCCAGCGGTCCAAAATTCCCAGACTGAAATGTGGCATCTGTCATTTAGCAGTTAACAGTAACCGCCAAACGGTTAGGGGACATGCATACCGTTGCTCGAGAACCCAAAATATTGATTGGAAATGTCAGAATCAATTGGTATTGTGTAACGAGCCTTTCACCACTATACTGACAGCGTTTATGTGGCACATGTACCGGGATGTGCGAACATAATGCGTTTAACATGTGTGAGGCTCCACATGTATCATATAGCTGTACATTTGACAAGACATAAACTACATGTAGGCCTATTTGTTGACAGAATAAAACAACTTTCCATGTGTTTTCCTTTTAATAGTCTGAATGGTGGGCCTTCCCTGCTGAAATTTTCATAGCTACAGTGTTCTCGTACCGGGTACATGTCGGTTTGCACAAGTCCAAATCAGGCCTGAGATTTTTCAGACTTTTGTCTGAAATCAAAGTTTTTTAATCTGAGAGAAAGACATTGTTAGTATGAAAAGACATTTGACAGATTGGCTTACAGTTTGTATTTCATCAATTTTCAGACTTTTTTTAAACTCGCCTGTAGTTAAACCATTCAAAACACCTCAAAATCTGGGTGCTGGCAAATTGGAGGGAAAAAAAATGCTGGACCTTTTAAAATCCTCCAGAATGTATTGTTACTGCACTATACCACACCTTCCAATTCCTTTTGAAAGATATTGAAATGCAACTTACTGAATTTGCCCACAGAGTTGCTTCACCTTCCGAAACCTTTCACTTTTTCACCTTTCAAAACCCTTTTAGTCAGGCAAATTTAAAATGTTTTGAAAGGTCTGATAATTCTCTTTGCCACTGCACTGGGCATAGCAGGGTTAATTGATAATCTCATCCTTGCAAGATCTACGATCATCAGTACGGTGTGCATTCACAGTGTACAGCGCTCACCAGTCTACCACGTATTGGTCGGAGACACGCCTTCAATTCTGTCACCCACATATTCAGTATGTACCGGTACCGGTACATGTGCGGTACATGTGCGGTACATGTGCGGTACATATGTGCGGTACATGTGCGGTACATGTGCGGTACATGTGCGGTACATGTGCGATACATGTACGGTACATGTGCGGTACATGTACATGTACGGTACATGTACATTGTAATGTGTGTTGCCGACACCATGTGCACAGCACATGTATACATGTGGTGTACCGGTACATGTAGGACGGTCGTTTTTATTTCCTGCATGTACATATTTCTGTACACTAGTATTGATGTACATGTACATGTACACACCGGGTACTGTACATGTACATATTCAACCTTCAAAATATATACAAAGAAATCCTGTCCGGATATCTGAACATGTACAAAAAAAATCCCAGCCCACAATTGTGAAATACTTACTGGCTACTTCCTGGTCTTGCACAGTTCGTGTTCGTCCAACCCTCACCTTGTCCTTCATCTACAGGAATTTTCTTTTATCTCTTTACATTTTATGACAGTTAGCCATGCAAACTGTGACCACAATGGTTGAATTTCTGTGACGAATTCCTGTCAATAGTGACTTTTTCCCACTGCATTTTTGTTTCACTTTTTGGTGCTGAAAAAAAATATTCCAAGAATAGAGAAAAAATATTACATGTACTGAGTACTTGCATGTAAGTGTATAGGACAAATGTTATGTGATCAAGCTAAGTGAGTCGTTTGTCTAGAATTTTTATTTGGAGATTCAGGCCAAAATAGGACCACTTCATCACATCACTTCGTCACATCTCTTGGTGTTCCGACTAACATAATCTTTGAACTAAAGGTGGTACCAGCATGCAGCTTTCACAGCAGTAATGCTGAGATTGTGCACTTTTAAAATCGGTAATAAATGTTTTTTGACCAGGGTCGACAAACAACTCATTTAGCTTGACCGCATCACAAATTTCATGGCTTTGTCAAGCACAGAAATTTACTCGGCTACCAGCCAACATGTTATGCCATGTATGCATACTTTTGACTGGTCCTCAGCTGATATGTTTTCCATATCACATAGATTTGCCGAGCAGTATGTTCTGCTAATGACCCTTACATGTATTTCTGCTTTAACCCTAACCATCCCAAATCCTCCAAAATCCTTTTTGCAAATTGGAGGAATTTGCGGGATTGAGGTTACATAGCAAAAGTGTGTTGTGTTGTTTATGCTCAGCCTACCCCCGGTAGCATAAATTTAGTCCTTGATTATACATGTTCAGTCAAACCTGTACAGAAAGACCGCTCAAGGGAAACAATAAAAGCGGTCTTTATAGACAGGTGGTCTCTCTGTACAGGTTGGAAATATTTGCCCTCCCTTCGGCTTCCCTAACGTAATGCAGGGGTCATTACAGTTTAAACCTGCCTTATCCAAAAATACATGTATGTTCTTCTTTCTTTTAGTTATTTGTTTAACACATAACTATTGCTTTAAAAAATAATAATAAAATTAAAAGTCATAAATGTGAATGATTTCAAAAAGTGTTTATTATTTTATGTTAATATTATGTGAGAATTAGCTGTACTGGAGCAGCAATACCTGCACAATCACAAGTAAAAGTATGGTCCTACAACAAAGGGGCTGTTTCTCTTTCCCTTTCCGAGATTCTTGGAGTCCTGGAAATCCTGTGGTTGATTTACTAATCCTCTGAAGTGGTTTATGTGGCTCTTGCTGTTTCCTTTGAGTAAGGAATCAACCATTGTACAGAAACAAGTGAGCATTTTGTGGTCGCTTTTCATGGCTTGTGGTCGCTTTTCATGGCTTGTGGTCATTCTGTACAGACTTACATGTAAGCATTCCTACGGAAGCAAAATGTGCGGGTCGCTGGTCGCCTTAAGCAGGTGGTCTTTCTATGCAGGACTTAAGTAATGGGATTTGTCAGCGGGGGATTTTTAAATGGGCAGGTTTGACTGTATTTGAAATCCTCAGCACTGCTCCAGGATGTCACTGCCTCTGCCTCAGCCTATTGACAGTCATAGCCAGAGGATTTTGCAGGATTCAGGCAGTGGTCACCTCTCCGCGGACCATATCCAAGAAATAATGGAGGAATTTGCAGGATTGAGGCATCATGCCATTTTTCCATGAGGCCACTTGGAGGATTTTGCAGGATTGGGGCTACATCCCAGCAAAAAGGCCTAGGGAGTTGGGGTCAACGTATCTGTTTTTTTTTTTTTTTTTTAATGTAAATCCAGTTTACAAAGATTATTGTTTCATTTCCCCTCCCCACCCCTCTCTCCAACAGAAGACAAGGTGCAACTTAATTTCACAGGTGTCGGTCAAAACGAAGTTGACCGCGAGATCTTCATCAATCGAACTTTTGCCAAAATCCGGCGTCTCAACAAAGAGGCGCAGAGGGACGTAGACGAGACGCGACGCAACGTCCTGTCAGACGTCTCCCGGCGGGGCCGGACGTGTTTACGAGGGTCCGTAGACTTAGACGATTATATATACACACCCGGGGGTCACTGGAAACCGAGGCATTGTGCGCCGCGTTGGAAGGTATGTCAAAACTAAACCAGGCTCCGTTGCACTCCCAATTTTCATTTTAAAATGGGTGTCCAGCAGTGCTCAGTAAGGTTACTGGTAAAAATATACACCAAGAACCTGCTAAACCTGAGACTGAATGCTACATCAGTAGTGGACAAAAGCACCAATTTCAATTATTTTAGTGTTGTGGCCCGAATGCCTGTCGTCTGTTTGATATTAGTGCGGACTAAAACCAGCCTTAAAGTGACTTGTGTTGAAATTGAAACGTGGAATCACAAACATGATTGCCTACTTTAATTTTCAACAAACAAAAAATGAAAACTGTGGTTTTACCTGCGCATGAAGTTACCATGTGACCTTAACCATATTTAAAAATGTCAAGTTAGTCGCCAAAAGTTTCCTGTCAAACACGAAACGGAAATGTCCACCAAAATGGTGCTGTTATCCATTATTGGCCACTATCCGTAACTGTCTTTTTCTCTTGGACGTTATTCCACAGGTAGCGGTGGTGGTTCCGTTTCGGGATCGCTTCACACAGCTTCCTCTCTTCCTGCGTCATCTAGTGCCTTTTATGAAGAAACAGCTCCTAGAGTTTGGTATTTATATCATAGAGCAGGTAGGTGGCTCGCCAATCGCATCTTCGGTTTTACCATAAAAAAAATAAGAAAACCCTGGCAAACGATTTCACGAAACAGTGCGTAGCTTACGCCTGCTTAGGATTTAAGCAACAATTCTTTTTGCACAGCTACGCAATAAACATGTGATCGAAATTAGGCATAGCTGCTCAACGTTTCAAATAATCCAACGTCTTGGACAAGGATAATAACGGCTTTTATGACGTCTGATTCATGACTTACGTTCGATCATGAAACAGTTGTTGAATAACCTCCGCCCGCCATTTTGGATAAAATAGCAATTTGTTTACTTCTAAAACAAAGCTGCGAATCGGAGGGGTCATAATTTTCGGTCTGATCGTCTTATGATAACGTCATTTATATAGACCGTTGGGGAATGTTGTTAGCTACATTTTGATACCCTGATTGTTACCAAAACTGTCAATCGCATCATACTGCATCAAGTTTCAAACTGTTGTCAATCTTGGACGATTTTACCGTCTTTGGTCGCAAACAGGGTATCAAAATGTAGACCACAAAATTCCCCACAAGTCTATATAAATGACGTCATCATAAGACGATCAGATTCAAAATTACGACCCCTCCAAATGAGTGCGCACTCTCTTCTTTTGCAGCACTTATCATTGGTTTTCTACAGTTGAACACAGTGTTGGATTTTTGGAGGATTTTGGAAAGGTTTCTGACACGAACCCAAAGGAAATTAGGGTTAAGTGGGGTTGACGGATTTTTAGTCAAATTGTTAAAGTTGGATAGGAAACTGGAGTTCCACGCAAAGGCCTTAGGGCATCAATGCTGGTAATTCCGGAAAAGATGAATTTAACTTCAGTTAATGTTGTGTGTCTGCTCAAACATCGGCGATAACGGTATCAAGCCACATCCTTCCTCGCAGTGACTCACATGGTCAACAAACTTTGTGGATCCTACGCATTCCATGAACTTGTGTTGACCACAGCCTTGACAGTAGGGGCCTTCATTTCTCATGGCAGTCATTTCCCTTACTCATGCCCAGCACACGTGCTGAAACTTTGATTTCAGATAATTTTATTTGTCACCGCAAAATGAGCATACAAGCCATACAGACGTACATTTTAAATTTTGAAGATTTGAAAATATTTTTGTTTCTGGATTCTGTAGAACAAGAGCTTTCTAACGGTGTGTAACATTCAGGGGTGCTGAGTTCGATAACGGAAAAGTACCGGGAGACCGCCAGCCGAATTGAAGTTGTTAAATTAAGTTTTGAGAAAAATGGCATTTTAAAGAGGTTGTGGAATGCTCCAAGACATTTCCGTCATTTTTCGGGTATATGTACATGTAGCCTAAGGTGTGATGAAATAAAAACGACTATTGTTTCTGTCATGAAATGAATACAAAAGGTACTTTTGAGAGCTGTTTTTCAGGTCCTGTTTCGACCCGAACGTGCAATTTGTGTAAAAGTCGTCGTTGGAGGCAGCAAACAAAACATAATAAATCGTGACGTAATAAACAGGACTCCCTATGTTTGGTAGTAGAAAAGAGTCCTGTTTATTACGTCACGATTTGCTATGTTTTGTTTGCTGCCCCCAGCGACAACTTTTACACAAATTGCACGTTCGGGTTCGAAACAGGACCTGAAAAACAGCTCTCAAAAGTACCTTTTGTATTAATTTCATGACAGAAACAATAGTCGTTTTTATTTCCACAACCTCTTTAAAATCCTGCTTTTATATCACACCGAATGAACAGTCATATAACAAAACAGGACAAACATTTCAGATGTTTCACAAAACAAAAAGAGGAACAGGATACTAATTGTTCACCTAAACAAACAAAATAACAAAAACAAGAAACCTCCATAAAAAAACCTTCAAATGTTGGCTTTGTCCCACTGTACTGCAAAGGGGCAATTTCCGACTTTATGCTCATTTTGTATCAATTTGTAGCAAACCCGATCATGTCGAAGGCTAAATTTGTTTTTTGATAAGTGTATGCTTAATCACCATTGCACAATGGAGGTAAAAAAAAAAAAAACGGGAAGTACATACATTTATTATAGTTACGCATTGAAAACCAAAACCGAAAACAGTTTGAATGTTTCAACGGGCTTTGTCTTCCCGGCACATTTTCAAAAAGTCTTTTCAAATGAAACTAAACTTATTTACAATCTAAGGTTAGGGATTAGTTCTGAAGGGCGGCCTCGATGCAACCTTCACTAGAATTTTGTTCAAGAATAAGCCGGGGGCGTTCTTATCTTTCTCTTATACTGAACGAAGCATGCAAGTGAGTCATTTTTTTAATAAGTTACTTATAAACCTTTGTATCCTTGAACCCTTTGCGTACCGTACCTCGTTTTCTATTGACACACTTTGCGGCTGCAGTCATTGGAAAATGGCTGACCCTTTTTTCTTTTTTTGGGGGCTGATGTGCGGGGTTTTTGACAAAATGTGGACAGTATCAGGCTATCAGCTTTGTTAACGTGCTAGGGTCTGGTTAAAAATTTGGAAATAGAGGCTTAAAAATGGGCAAATTCTGCCCTCCACCGAGTTTTGGTGATACTTATAAGCCACTGGCATTGTTCATCTAAATAAAGTGTTGAGCATATTTCGCAACGAGTTTATTTTTATCGGACCTACATGTACAATAAGGATGCGAGGTTAAAATGTTTGAATCTTTAAAAAAAATTCTGGTGTAACTTTCTGACTGAATGATTTTGTTTAGTTATTGTTTCACAAATTTGTAATTAATTGCTGCCAGATAATAATTCCATTCTCGCGGGATAGGCTGGTTCCCGCCCCACAATCAGTATCGATAGTGTACGGACCGAGAACCCAGTCTGGTCGTGAGACAGCTCATTTTGTGGCCAGAATAAAACAACTATCTTCCCCAGTGGGTTACAGACGCCTTCAAAATAAAAATAGGACTTTGGGGGGGGGGGGGGGGGGTTGAATAAAATACATGTATACAAGTTGAACATTTATTAAGAGAAACAAAAAGATTGGAATTGTGAAGAGCATGGGTGATGCAACCTTACCTGTAAATGTAAACTAAAAATTTGTAATTATGCCTGTAAATTATCGAACTGGCCATTTATTGGCCAAGTCTTGTGCACGGTGTCTTTTGCGAACCTTAATCAACAAGTTGAACGAAACAAACCTGACAAGTCACTGACTACGATGCCTGATTTTGACAACTTATATTAGAACACAATGAAGCTACGGTAGGTTAATAAAATAGGGCTATATGGACAGTACGTCAACAGTAGATGGGGCGTTGTGACACACTCACAAGAGCTTTGAGTGACACAAAAGGACTAAAAAAACCAGAAAGAGGTCAAGTCTGTCACTCTGTCACGAGCCAATGTGGCCAATCAGGCCAGCGTTTGTCTCCGGTTTCAGTAGCAAGTAACCACTGAGAATATACATGTATCTATTCCCCCTGGATGGGATGCTAGTCCATCGTAGGTTACTCCCCAGCTAATGCAGGTACCCATTTATACTCCTGGGTGGAGAGGGGCAAGTGGTGGTGAAGCGGCTTGCCCAAGGACACGCAATATTTGACCAGCAGCTGGATTTGAACCCCTGACCCTCCGATCACGAGTCACAAACCCTAACCACTTGGCCACACTCCTACCACCCCTACCAAAAGGACATGAATGCATATAATGTAAATCTGAACGTGTGCAACGAACACGACCCATAAGGCCCCCCAAAAAAAAGTCTCCGGTTTCTGGTATGCGCGCGCGTCGCCGTAGCCATGCGCGTCGGCAAAATGAAAAAGTTTTTTTTTCAATGAAAGATGATGTCTCAAAACCGCCCAACTCACTGGTTTGACTGGAATCCTGCTGCTGCACAATTTTAACGTGTTTTTAGATGGGGTTATGGTCGAGAATAAGCTTTATGTGGGCTCTCTGGACTCCCATCTATTTGCACTAAGTTTAGTCTGGCACCATTTGCAGTCATCAGCCGACATTTGAAGCAAAAAAATCAGGTAAAAAAAAAAAAAAAGCCGCGTCGCCGCACCACTTTTTGGGCAAGCTCCATACCAGAAACCGGAGACTATTTTTTTTTGGCCTAACGTACTTGACGTGAAAGCCAGACAATCGGTGTCAATAGCGTTTTAAGAGCCTTCAGTATGTAACCCTCTCTTGGCTTCGGCAGAGGGTCACGTGTACTTTCAAATTAACTATGTATTTGATGTTCAAGCTGGAACTAATAATGGACCGTCCATTTTAAGTACCGGTAATATAAGAAAGAGAGCACATTTTTTTTTTCATGATCATGCTTCTGAGTACTCACAGTAGTATCATGGCTCGAAGGATGAATTGTTGCTATGGAAACCTAATGCTGTTGTCACCATTTCCATGGAAACCTTTCAGAGAAGAATCCTTTTAATGAGCCATGCTTCCTAATTGAGTAATGTTTGGCACGGAAAACGATTTGCCGTGTCGGCGGCTGATTTTGAGAGCTTGGTAGAATGTTTCCCTTTATCAGCAATTTCCAGGTTCATTTCAACCAAATGTGGTTAATTATACAGGGCGAGTCAAAAAGAGAGTGACCGAGTTGGAAAAAATATTTAAAAATACCAGTATGAGGCTTGCCCCATTTAATAAACAAATAACGTAGGAAGAAATGTTATTGGCTAATAACTGTGCAACGCAATTAGCATTCCACGGACAGCTGTAAAAATGGGCTCTTTTGGTAAAACCACGAAGTTCCACGGAAAACCTGCATAACTTCTGATAGCATGGATCAATTTCAGTAACTCTTTTTTTTTTACAAGAGTGGAAGAACACGCTCGTTTAGTGTGCTTCGTTGGTGTATCAAATTTAATTGCTTTTTATTTACGGAAACACTAATTAATCCAAGTCACTTTCTTTTTGACTCACCCTAGTCTGACCAGGAAAAAAATGTGAGAGTTTCAGGAAATGTGAAGAAAAAAAATGAAATTTATTAATGTGAGCCTCAGTGACGCCTTCATTTTTCTGCATGCTCGATCAGAAAATAATACTTAACCTTTCCAAAAAGTGTTTCCTTTGGTTCCTTTTGATCACAACTTTCAGGAACAACGTTAATGTTTATCGGTCCTTGTTTTATTCCTCTATTTGCAGAGTAATGATGAAGCATTCAACAAGGCTTTCCTAATGAACGTAGGGTTTTTAGAGTCGCTGCGATTCCAGGACTGGGACTGTGTCGTCCACCACGACGTGGATCACATTCCGCTCAGCTATGCAAACTACTACGGCTGTGGGGAGATGCCGCGCCACTTCATGTCGGGAGAGGACACCTGGGATTACAAGTGAGTCCCGCGCCTTGACCTCGTGACCTTTGACCTCATGACCTTGTGACCTTTTGTGTTCACCCACCAGGGCCCAATTTTAGGGAGCTGCTAAGCACAAACATCTGCTTAGCACAAAAAAAAGTCTGGCTTAGGCCAACAAAAAAAATAAGTCGGTCTCTGGTCAGCGCGCGCTTCGATTTTAATCATGCGCGTCGATCTTTTTTTTCTCCAAAATGTTCCGCGGTAGCTCCAACAGCGTCCTCTATTTCCGCACCTCCTCAATTTTTTTTTACCAAAGAGCACCAAGGAATGGGAAATTGCATCACGGCAAATGATCGAGAGCACCAAAGCAAATTATGAAGGACACCAATGTACATGATGACACCAAAAAAAGCAAAATAGTACCCCACCTTGTCTGTACAATCCAAGCTTGAAAAAAAAAAAAAAAAAAAAAAACCAAAAAAAGCCGCGTCGCCGCGTCAATTCCGGAACTTTGGTCTGACCAGAGACCAAATTTTTTTTTTTTTTGGCCTTATCAAAGCAGATTATTAGCAAAAACACCATGTGATTTTCATACTAAGCAAACAACAGCTGAATACTAATCACGAGCAGTACACATCACGTGGAGTTTTGGCTGGTAACCTGGGCCCAATTTCATAGAGCTGCTTAAGCAGAAAATTTGCTTAAGCACGAAAAAACATTGCTTAGTAAAATTAGGTTACCGGCCAAAACTCCAGGTGATGTACATTGCTTGTGACTGGTATTTAGCTGTTGTTTACTTAGTATAACAATCGCATGGAGTTTTGGCTGGTAACCTGATTTTATTAAGCAAGACGTTTTTGTGCTTAAGCAAATTTTGTGCTTAAGCAGCTCTATGAAATTGGCCCCTGCTTTTATAAGCCAGACTTTTTTTGTGCTAAGCAAGTTTTTGAGCTTAGCAGCACCGTGAAATTGGTCCCAGTCACGGTCTGTAAAGCCGCATCGGTCTGACTTGGCTACGGCTCACATTAACACATGGGTCTATGGAAAGTGGCTGCAGCCGTTTCCCATAGACACATGTGTTAGCGTGAGCCACAGCCAAGTCATTCGGTCACAGCCTAACATGCTTGCTTCAGTTGGAGCAAGTTACAGTACGGGGCGCCTCAAACGTGTACCCTGAAGATACCACTTTGTAACTGATGGTCAACATCCAGCACATGCATAGAAGCCTGTAATTATTCACCTGTCCGTTGCTTAAGTGCAGAACTACACACACAAATGCAGTTTGAAGCCTCGTTTTTTTGCAGGGGAAAAAAGAAGAAATTGCTAGAAGATCTTGTTTAAAGAAACACCGAATTGTGTACAGATATAGACTTCCCTCCATAATGCTGGGGAAATTGCAGAAGAAATGCGTCACGAAAATCTCCCCTGCCTATTAAGAAACCTTTGATTCTTTAATAATTTAAATTATTAATATTCACGTGCTTGAAACTTCTTCATAAATAAACAAAACCCAAATCGTGGAATTGTCAGAAGTCAAATGTATAGTCAGAAATGTGCATGTAAATGCGCATCAGTATCTTGCTTAGTAGATCTCAAAAAATGAAGTGTGGCATCGGTGGTGCAGTGCGTAAAGTGCGTGCCTCTCACCACTGTGACCTGGTTACAACTCTTGGCTCGGGTCATAAGTGAGTAGAGCGGTTTGTTGATGCTCTCCTATGCCACGAGGGTTTCTCTCTGATTTCTCCAGTTTTCCTTCCTCCGCAAAAATCAACACTGGTTGTGCCCAGTTGTAAGACATGGGTCGTATGTGGGTTGTCTAAGGCACCTTTACATGCCTTCCTCTCGACCACCTTGTAGCTGCGCCCTTCGCAATTCAGCTTCTGCTGCGAGTAAGGACGATTAGCCCCCAAAAATCTATCTCATTATTTCTCAAAAAAAAACAATGTCTGGTTTACATTTTCAGAATTCTGTACCCGGACATTTTCGGCCAAGTCTTTGGGGTGACGCGCAAGCAGATGGAAGTGATCAACGGTTTCCCCAACGTCTACTGGGGCTGGGGCGTGGAGGACGACGCCATCTATAGCCGCATCCTTCTCCACGGCTACAACCGGACCCGGCCGGAGGGGGAGGTGGGCTACTACGACACCATACGCCGAGACCACAAGCAGTCCGATAGTAATAAAGTTAGGTGAGTTTACGGACAGTGATAGAAGAAAGCAAGGTGTTGCATTTCTGTCGATGGTCTGCCTTCCTGTTGGTGGTCTGACTTCCTGGTCACATTCATCAACTTGTCTTCAACTTGTCTTCACCCCTTTCCCTTTCTCCCCTTCCCCCCTCTCCACTTCCACCCCCCCCCATCCCCTCCCTCCCCCTACCCCCCTCCCCCCCCCCCACTTTCCCTTTATCTCTTCCAAAACGCGAGTCTTACGTTTCAATTGATGGTCTGTTTTCTTGGTCTCATTCATCATCTTGTCTTTACCCCTTTTCCTTTCCCCATCCTCCCCCCTCCCACTTCCACCCCCCCCCATTCCTTTCATCCCTTCCAAAACGCGAGGCTTGCATTTCAACTGACCTATCGCGGTAGAATCGCGTCAACGCAGCTTGTGGAATATTGTCCAATTGCATGATATACAAGTGGACGTGGAGCGCGCAAAAACTGAGACAAACAAAACTTAGTGTACACAAACTCCATAGGGTTGTCTAAAGGGCGTGTCTAAGTTCGCAAACGGCGATAGGTCAATTGATGGTCTGTGTTCTTGGTCACATATATCAACTTGTCTTCATTCCTTTCCCCATCCTTTGCCCCCCCCCCCCCCATTTTCCCTTCTCTCCCTTCCAAAACGCGAGGCTTGCGTTCCAATCGATGCGTGCCTTCCTGTTCCCATTCTTCACCTTGTCCTCGAGCCATTCCCCGTTCATCTGTCTCCTGTTACCCGTTCCCTCCCTACGCCAAGACAACAAGCAGTCTGATTGTAATATGGCCGGCGTTGAAGCGCAAGGTTGTGTGCCATTCATTGCTCTGTGATCCATTATCTCCCATTTGTGAACAGTGTGTTTTTTGGCTGGGCTTCTCGTGGCAAAACTATGTGAAGGTTTGCCCAGGTATATGTGAAGGACCCCCCCCCCCAAAAAAAAAAATCCCCAAGATTGTCTGAAATATTTAGAATAGAAAAGTTGAAACATGTTTATAAAAACTGCATTAGTGTACAAGATGCCAGAATTGTAGTCACAAAAAACAGGGGGTGAACAATGACAAAAGGTAGTCAAAGTTCATTTGAATGCAGTCAAAGTTCATTTGAATGCACAAATTCAAACTGACAGACATCTTGGGGCAAGTTCGCGCAAGGACTATAGTTAACCATTGGTCGACTAACGCTTGCCCGAACTCTGTCTAGTCGACGATGGTTAACTACGCTAGTCGACTATTTGGAACCAACCTACTGGGGTTGGTTGCTTCGCTGGCAACCATAGCCGCACGCGTTCATATACAGCAGGGAGCCAGGATCCAGACGTTTTGCAATGACATTTTGACCAGCGTTCGACTAGAGACGTTCGCACTTTGCTATTAGTGCGCAGGCGTAAGGTACGTCACAAATCAACCACTAGTCGACTAATGGTCCTTGCCCGAACTTGGCCATGATTGACAGAAAATGTAAAAAAAAAAAAAAACATCCAGCAAATTGTCTTTTAAAAATTTTGTCACTTGTTCGTTACCCCTTTCTAGAGTCATCGTATCCTGAAAACAAAAATATATATCTTTAGATCTGACTGTGTGATGCCTCTCAAGAAACTGAACCACACTTGTGTAAATCTTAAAGGCCAAGCAGAAACTCCACACTACATGAAACTTGTAAAGACTTTGTGAAGACTCTGATGTTGATTCCACATTTGTTTGTCATCTTTCCTGAACTCTGCCGCTAGGCTTGTCACCAAAAACGCTTGCATGAACCCATTTCATCAGTTCTACATGAGCTGCATTGGTTACCAGTTAAATCCCAGATAACTTTCAAATTACTGGTTCTGATTTACAAATGCATAACATGGATTAGCCCCAATTTACCTCCAAGAATTAATCAACAAATATCAACCACCAAGAACCCTCCGCTCTAGTTCCAAAGATCTTCTCACTCCTTATCCAGTTACCGCCAAATCATACGGTCAACGTGCCTTTCAATTCACGGCTCCCAAGCTATGGAATGATCTCCCTAACCCTATCAAAACCTGTCCCTCCTTGGATCAACTCAAACAACTTGTTAAAAGTCACCTGTTCACTTGCACAAGCGCATAGAGACTTAATGTATTATGCGCTATATAAGAACGGTTTATTTTACTAAATGCTGTAATAGGGTGACAGATTTTGCTAACTCCGTCCACAATAGGGCGACAGACCTTATTAAGGCGACATATAACTGTTGCCCTTTTGTGAAAACGACCCTTAAGACAAGGAATTTTGCTGTCGCAAATCATCTAGATCGATTCCTCATGGTCCAATGAGTAAAAATACGGAATTTCGTGGAAAAGGATAAGGTGAACTTGGGTTAGGCGACAGTTTAGGTTTGTGCACAAGTCTATGGAAAAGTCGCCCTATTGTAGCAAAAAGAGTTATATTACTAAATGTACTATTAGGGAGACATGTTATTGTAATTTCTTCAATAATAGGGAGACACCGGCTTTTAGGGAGACACACAACTGTCTCCGTAATGGCGCAGCCCCCCTTTAGAGGCAAAATTTTCGCAATTAGATTATATTTGTTGCTCGTGGTCTAATTAGTAAAAATACCGAAATTCGTGGAAAAAGGACAAGGGAGTATTGGGTTAGGGTACATTTAGGTTGGAAAAATTTTGTGCACAAGTCTATGGGAAAGTCGCCCTATTGCAGCAAAAAGAGTTATTATTATTATTATTATTATTATTCTTCCTTGCAGGCATTGTCTACTAAGGCATGGCCGTGAGCGTGTGGACAGCGATGGACTGTATAATATATGGTACCCCGTGCCCAGGGTAACCTTAGAACCACTCTACGTCAACGTCTCCGTTGACATAAGGCCTCTGGCCTGGAACTCCACATGGACGTCATGTAAGAATAACGCCCTGTCCAACACCATCGGCTCCTTGGACTTCTTCTTCAACACGTTCCTGGGCTTTAGGCACGTCTTCAAGAAGGCGTAAACGTTTTTCTGGGAGTTATAATCTCTCGGGCGCGTCATCTTAAAACTCGTCTGTGTACATGTTTTGGCAGTGAGCGTAAAACGGCAGTAGATGTTTTTGAGTCCATTGCCGACACGACGCGGAGGAATATAATAATTGGCGTCGTGGACGATGTTTCCAATGTGGTGCTGATGATGTCTTTAACGTTTTTAAAGTGACTTCTCATCGTTCCAGCGGTGGCCCTTCGGTGACCCCTCCCCCAACTCCCTCGAAGTGGTTGGAGTGGCCTCTGTTCCAGCAAAACGTGGAGTGCGTTTTTAACAGGACCGCCAGAACAAAATGCCGGCCAAATTTCGGGACCACCCCTTGCATCCCTGAGGCAGCATAAATACAATATTTACTACTTAGCCCGAGACCTGTCACTCATCTGAGCACATCTTCATACCGAGTCCTTACCCATAATGCCCAGCTGTACAGTTTGATCCACGGTGGCGTCGATCATGTCTCTCCCCCCCCCCACACCCCACTCCACCTCCCCCCGACCTTGTATCGTCATGTGAGTGGATCCAACTCGAGATCAGCTTCTCGCAACGTCTGTGTCCATTCGCGTCATTTCGTCGATCAAGCATCTCATCAAGCATCACTCCACCAAAGACAGCAAAATTTGCAAGGATAATTTGTGGTAACCATATTTTAAGGCTTGTACAGTAATAGTCCATGAATTTTTATGTACGTGTAAACACTGGTGATGTAGTTTAACGTTTTGATAAAGAGGGACCCAAAAACTGCTGCATATATGGCAGTAAATTTGGCAACGGCAAAACGCCTGACTTCAACACGGCATTTAAAATACTGAAAATCAAAATTGATTTCAACACCGACTTGGTGGTACGAAAGTCCCCAGCACTTGTGAACACTGTCTTGAAGATATCAATCAAACTTAAGCAAACAATGAAATTGTTCTAATCATTTCTTCCAAAATTTTTGATCTGGAAATTGGAAATAAGCCGTAATGGCTCAGAGGGGAACTAATCCTGGAATTTGGAGGAATAAAATCTCCTCTTCGTAAAAGTGCATAAAAAAAGGACTATGGCATCTTTGTCTTGTACATATATACATGTAATCACAAGTAAAAGTTTGGAGCGACTTGGTAAATATTTTTCTCCAGCATCATTTCCGAACACGTGTAAATTTGTTGATTTACGGCTGCCGCGACTGAGACCAAAACAAAAAAAAGGCTGCCACATGGTTTCTGAATTCCGTCTTAAGATTTACTACCGAAATGCCCCGAACTCTCGCCGTACTATAAAAAAACACCGAGATTTCGGATGATATAATCAGTAGGGAAAGGCCAGGTTGTCCGAGCTGGTGAACCGATGACACTGTTTATATATTTCATGTTTTGTGAATTTTTTGGCGAATCTGTGCAGACGATTCAAGGCAAACCGGGTGTCAATAGTGAGCAGTATTCAAGTCCTGCCTTCACGATCATCTACTGTGATGATTTACTCAGAATTTGTGGTTATTCAGTACATATGACGCTTTTGCTAGAAGCTGGTGGCGTAAATACAAGTCTTAAATGCAGCCATCATTTCCTTGTCTGCTTATATACATGTACAGGGTGAGTAAAAAAAAAAAAGAAACCCAAATGTCGGGACTACTGTTTTATTGAAGTTCTGCATGTAGCACTTTCAAAATCTAGGATATGAAAGCTCAATTTATCAGCTTTCGTTTAGCACAAAAATCATTCAAATCACTCATCTACTTTTCAAGTTACGGAACTTTAAATACAACCACCGTTTTAAGGTTCTGTCCACGGATCACAAAAAAAGGTGTGCGCTCTTCCAGCAAAACGAAAACTGATTTTTTTTTGTGATCCGTGGACAGAACTTTAAAACGGTGGTTGTGTTTAAAATTCTGTAAACTTGGAAAGTACATGAGTGATTTGATTGATTCTTGTAGTAAAAGAAAGCTTAAGAATTGGGCTTTCATATCCTTCATTTTGAAAATGCTACATGCATAACTTCCCCAAAACAATGGTCCCAACATTTGGGTTTTTTTTTTTTTTTACTCGCCCTGTATAATGGGAGCCTTGCTTAATTTTTTTTGGGGGGGCAGCAAGTACTAAATGTTATAAACCGCTGTACTTAAAAAAGAAAAAAAAAAAAAAAATGAAATTCGGGTAAATCCTTTAATTGTGTAGTCAAGAGGAGGGCATCCATTGACCTCTCTCCCCAAAAAACTTGACAAGACGGAAGTATCTCGTTATGGAAATTTTTTCGATTGGACCACTTACAGTTACTAACAGTACAAATAACAGTTTTCATCAGTTTTTGGATTGTACATGCTGCCATGTAAGTCAAAGAGCTTGATTTTTTTCAAACTACGGCCAAAACTTTGGCTCTGGCTTTGTGATTTGAGGCTCCGACTCGTGGAGACTGTGGCTTGGTACGGGCCTCTTTGTCATTTTAGAAGCCGTAGCCGTAGGGTCGTTTCATTTAAGGCTCTTGTGGACTGTGAGCCGAAGTCATAGCCAAATGTTTAAAGGACAGGGACCGGGTGAGGCTTGTTGGCACAGACTGGTGACATGAGCATGTGTGTGTGTTTATTGGATTCACTGGTATAACATTGTCAATGCTGCTTGGAACCAGACCAAGATGGCTTTTTGTGTTGATAAGAGCCAAAGTGTTGTAACAAAAGGTCTTTACTAGTACCCCATTGATGGAGATGCTTTATCGAAAAATTAATTTTGTTTATTATTAAACTCAGTATTTTGTATTGATCCAGAGTACACTTTATGAACTTTAACCCCAAAGCTGACCTTTGACCTCTGCCGAGAGCAGCGGCCATTGGTATGACGCCTATGGGCATTATTGTGATGTGTTAAAATCTAACTTTTTGTGAAGATCTTGATAAATAGCAAGACAAAAGTTAGTAGAACTGCACAAATTGAGAAATTAGAAGTAAAGCGCAAGGAATCTCTGATTTTAGGAAAATTATAGGGAAATAGTAGAAAATAATAACACGATTGCCACCAATGATTTTCCTGCAACAACTCTGAACGTTTTTACCAAAGATTTTAAACAATGCAAGTCTTTATCTCTTGTTGCACACAGGGACACCTGGTCAGGGGTATTCATGATGATCTTAAGAACATGGCTCTAGCTTTCCGGCTCTTTGTGGCCCTATTGAAAAGTTAATTGATTAATTGATTGATTGCCATACAATGTGAGACATCTCCACCACACGAAGCTCAATCAGTATTCATAAATACATGAGACAGTTTACCCAATCCTATTGGTCGAGAGTTTTAAACCGCCGGTAAAGCACCGCTGTGTTCTGCGCCACGGCACACAGTACGCGCCCCAGCACGCAGTAAGTGCCCCAGTTTCCACATGAGATGTTTAGCACATACCATATACATTACTTGTGACCGGTTCTCGTTTGATTTTTGGCTTGGGGAATAAATTCGCTTAGTGATAATTTTCTACTCCGCAGCACCACGAAATGGGACGCTGGGTTTGGTTGCTTTCCATTGCCTGGTACTCTGTCACTGGTGTTCATTACTCACCCACCACAAGGCCGATCCATTGAGCCCCATTGACCAATGGTAATGGTGATTGATTTCTGACATGCATGCGGAGAAATCCGACATGTACGTGTTCTACATAACCCCCAAGGACAGACACACAAAAGGAGAACAACAGATCCTTTGAGCCTTCGGGCGTTGGGTCTTTAGTTGGAAACGGTCCTCTGTAGTAAGATTGTGTGCTTAGTCTATGGGAGAGTGTTATATTACAGGGACAAAGGGAAACACAAAGCATTGTCCTCGAGAGTATAGTAAAACAAGAGTATCTGTGCGCACCTTTGTATGACCCTCGCATCTCCTGAACTTCATTGTGGCATGGCAGAGTGTTGTTTCCAGCATGCGCTTTGCGCGGGGCTATAATAGATCGTTCCATTCTTTGAAGTTGGGCTGGATTCGTATGGGGCTTTAGAAATCACTTCCAAGCATCCAAAGTTACTTTGTTGTTAAGCAAAGTAATGTGTGCTTTGCAAAACTCAACCGCCAAAAGATGTTTCAGTGCGCAGTCAGATGTGCGACGCCATTACCCTCAAAGCCACAGTTTTCTTAAGGAAGTAGGCAGGCATGCGCGAGTCACAGGTGGATTGTAGAATGCCTTTTAAATGCTTTTTTATATCCAGCATTTTAATTTCTCGGTTCTTCAGTATTCAGAGTTTTTTAAAGGCTGCGAGTTGTTAAAGAACGGGCTGAAAGTGGGATACTTTAAACCATTATATTTAATAGGAAAAGTAGTTAGGCATGTGTTCTTATCCATTTCTTTTTGGTTGTTCTTCTTTCTTTTTGGTTGTTCTTGTTTTTTTTTTAACTTGGATATAGTCAACAGTGAATTTGATTCCTATGTTTAACATTTAGTGAGATTTTGTACTTCCGGGCGTGTATATTATGCATTGTGTTTCCATGCCAAAAAAAAAAATTGAATCTAAGAAAGCGAGGGAAGATAACCCCTTGTTAAAAACATGTTTTGTGACGTTATTGTTGATTACCGGTAGTCCTTTTTAAAATATGTGTGGACATTAAACTCAAGATCTCGTCTTTGGATCTTGGCTTTTTTTTTACTGTAGTGTTTATGTGAAGACCATTCAGTCTGTGGATTGGGCGGAGCTTATATGTCAAAGGGGGGGGGGGTAACATGATCATCGGGTGAAAGGGACATTTGTTTACAACCGATAAGATTGCACCAAGTGACAGAAATGGAGTTTTGAATTGTGATGTCGATGTATTTTATAATGTTTGGGCATTAACATTCACAGATTGAACTGAAATGGTCTTCACATTAAAATTAGGAAGAAAAAAAAAATACCATATGTTTTGTCATCATGTGTCTTGAGATAAGTCAAACTTGCCTGATTAACATAACGAATCCTTGAAAAGATTGTATAAAATGTTGTACATGGCTAATTGCAAAAGAAAAGAAAGATAAGTGTAAAAAAAAAATCCTGTTTTTTTTTTTATGTGTTTTGTTTTTCTATGAAACTTTAAAAGTGTTGTCAGGAATTTGACCTTGCAATAGATTGTGTGTACAGTAATTGCTATTGTTGAAAAAGCCAGCAAATTGTGTCAGTCTTGGGCTGTGAAATGTGTAGATGTGGATGCCTGAGTCAAGTTTCAATCGATGGTTTTGAAATTCTTTTTCTCGGGAGGAAAAAGACACCTTATTTTGCAATTTATTCAAACTGGGCTAGAACGCTTGACAAAAGACCGTAACTCATAACTCCTTTCCCGGACTTCACAACTGCCTTTTGACAACATACATTATAACTACTATAGTTGAAGAAAGGTTTAAAAGTTCCATTATATGCAGTTGTCTATCTTTTCATTATTCTCCAAATTTTGTGTCCTTTTGACTTCTCTCTGCACAATAATGTATTCGTATTCACAAAAAACCAATGTCCAGTCGTTCGGCTAGTATGGATAGTTCTTAGCATGATGTGTGTCAGTAGCCAATGTTGAGAGCCGCAGCTAATAGCATGTACCGTGCTTCGAAAGTGTATTCTTGGCCATTTCTGAAACTGCGGATTCAGTTCAGATTCCAAATAAAGGACCCCCCCCAGACTGTGTGCATGGCTATGTTATTCACTGAGAAATAATTTCAGTTCTTCCCATCTGAAGATTCATGCACAATATCTTATATACATAGAAGGTGATTGACACCAGGGATTTTACATATTCAATCTTTTCAAACCACACTTTCTTTGTGTTCAGTCGTTTCCATCCAGTTTGACAAAATGTAAATGAAAAAAGCAGCGCAATGTGGTATCGTTTGTATTTTTAAATTAACAAATGGAACACTAATATAGAATATTATTTTTTTGGTTATAATTATGTGATACATGATTGTCTTTGCTTGGGTTAACGCACTGAATGTACTGACCATGACCACGAGTCATGTGACACTCTTCATCATGTGACGGGTGTCATGTGACCACCTGGTTCCGGATATGATGTACTTCTTGACGTGCTGACCCCTTGCCCAGAACAGTATGTTGAAGCTCCGAGTTTGTATCAGTTTTGGTGCAATTTTTATTTTCTGTAATTTTCTTTTTATGTGTTAACATTTGCAGTTGAAATCAGATGAAACAGAGTGGAATATATCTTGAAAAAAAGAGGGCAACCAATACAGAGGGTTGTAATTTCTTTTTGGGGAGATTTGCAAAATATGATTTTGTCAATTGACGCCAACGGTTAGTTAAAAGAAAACAAAATCATTATTTTGTTATTCAATCAACATTTAACAGGACAAATATTGAACGTGTATATTCCTAACATGGGTGCGTAATACTGCTAAACCATTAAACCAGCCTCTTTCTGGATTGATTGACCTCCAATTTCTGCATAGCAAACCAGGAGCTATTCGCAAAGCTGTTAACCATTTTTTTTATCCGATAATGTACGTAGTTGTAGAGTTGTTTAGATAGTCCTTACTATTGCATTGTACATTATCCCTGAGGGACACTGAATTCCCGATAATGCTTAAGTATATATATATTGAATAAATTGCTAATTTGCATAAATGGATGAATACAATGAGGAAATGTCTATTTTGTTTTTCCATTTTGTCGGAGGATATTTTAAGGGAGTTTCATTTTGGCATCGTGAATTTAAGTTCAGACTTGGAGTGCCGAGATGTTTGTTTTGCCCTTACCCCACTTGTCCCTGCCCACAGCTATTTACTTGGTGGTCCCCAGCAAGCTTGCTGTTTGGTCAGCATGTAATATCCCCCCCTCCCCCTCCCCCGCCCCCGCCCCCGCCCCGCCCCCTCCATCGCCCCCTCCCGATCCCCCACATCAGACTCGAAAGCATGTTGACCATAAGAAAGCAATGTAAGTTTGTCTAAACTATCAATATTTTTAAGCTTGAAAGATATAAACCAAATAGGCAAAAGTACTCCAATCTTTTTTCTTGTAAAAAGGAGAGAAATCAAGAATTTTAAAAAGCCCTTTATTTAGTTAGGTATTTAGCGCCCTCTATTGATAAAGCAAACAGCGCCCTCTATTGAATCAAGTTTGATGATAATTCCTAGCAGTCAATAGAGGGCGCCATTCAATTATCAATAGCGAGCGGGCGTATCAATAGAGGGCGCTATTTATTGGATGTGATTTTTGTTTTGCACTCACACACAGAGCACGGAGTCCAAATTTTTGTTGTATTTTGTGATTTTTTAAGTAATCAAAATGGATAGTGGAATGGCGCAGAAGACGTGGGAAATTTCTAATAGTATTGAAACTATTCAGAGCGTGGATGAAATCTACAAATTTGACAAAAAGCAACAGCAGGAAATTCTGTCAGCTAAACCGTGGACGAAAGAGTAAGTTTCAACTTTCATGAAAGCATAGTGATAGTCCATAGACACAATGTCAATGCATGGTGTCCGTTTTCATCAACATTTTTTTCCTGCAGACATTTCAACTTGTGTATTATATTTTGGTCACTCGCATTCACAAACATTTTTGCCATGCAACCAGTTTAGTCATGTTTTTAGGGCACCTCACCCGATAATGCCTGATGTCTGTTTAATTTTGCCCGAGGCCAAGGCGCCCCGGCCAAGGTGGGGATTTGGTCAATTAAATTGATAATCCCCACATCTTGGGTGGGTCCCCTGCCGGGCCCAGGATGGTTGGGGAGGGGGGGGGGTACAATTAAGAGGTGTATATATATATATATATAATTACTATTACTTAGGGCCTATTAGAGAATAATATTGTCATGAAGAAAAAAACACTACTACTAAAGTACTACTAGTATCAGTAAAAGTAAAAAGTGCATAATTTTAATGAATGACATCATTGAATTTGAAATAAATGTTACTACTACTACCATGGAGGAAGGAATATGCTATTACTCCTAAAGCCAGGATATTTCATTCCTTCTGTTCTAGGCTCTGTGAGATTGTAACTTTTTAATTAACTAGGATTTGTTCTAAATTTAAACACAATTGCATATTTTATTCCATCAGCAACCATTATTTCAAATACATCAAGATTTCAGCCTTGGCACTTCTGAAGATGGTGATGCATGCGAGGTCAGGGGGCAATCTGGAGGTCATGGGCTTGCTCATCGGAAAGGTCAGTCGACTATAACTTCATTCATTCATAACCAACCTTTCGCAATCCCCATCTACTTTTCCCCGTCCCTACCACCCCAACCCCCACACGTTCCCACCCCAACACCCAACCCAACCCACCCCAACCCCCGCTCGTCCCTCCAACCCCAACCCCCACCCGCCCCTCACACCCGTACCCCCACCCAACCCAACCCACCCCAACCCCCGCTCGTCCCTCCAACCCCAACCCCCACCCGCCCCTCACACCCGTACCCCCACCCCAACCCCCACCCAACCCAACCCACCCCAACCCCCACTCATCCCTCCCACCCCAACCCCCACCCGCCCCTCACACCCGTACCCCCACCTTGTCCCTCCCACCAACCTCCACTAGTCCAACCCCCACCCAACCCCCCCAACCCCCACCCAACCCCCACCCATCTCCCACCCGTCCCTCCCACCCCAACCCCCACCCGTCCCTCCCATCCCATCTCCAACCCAACCCAACCCAACCTACCCCCACCCAACCCAACCCAACCCTCTCCATCCCACTGAACCCTCGCCCCACTCACAAGCATATCCTCTCTGTTTCGTCATTTTGCAGGTTGACGGTGAGACCATGATAGTAATGGACTGCTTTGCCCTGCCAGTGGAAGGCACCGAGACGAGGGTCAATGCCCAGGCAGCAGCTTACGAGTACATGGCAGCGTATATTGAGAACGCTAAGCAGGTTAGCAAGTATCAAGGAACTAGTTAGCAAATTAGCTTAGCAAATATACTCGAAAAGTGGTTGAGAACTGAGAACCACAAAGGTAATCTGCAAAGTGATGGACTACAAGTAAGTCATGTTCGACCAATCAGCTAACTTGTTGAGAGTCAGAAGATTCAAAGCCCTTACACCGTTGGTTGATGCTGTGGGAAAACAACCATTGGATTTTGGTCCTTTTAATTGCTTTTGATTGCTCTTGTTTAGGTTGGTCGTCTGGAGAATGCAATAGGCTGGTACCACAGTCATCCCGGCTACGGGTGTTGGTTATCAGGTATCGACGTCGGGACCCAGATGTTGAACCAGCAGTTCCAGGAGCCGTTTGTTGCCATTGTGGTGAGGCGGCCATGTTTGTTTCTATACTAAGGCCACGTCAGAATTATTTGGCTACGGCTAGAAATAACACACGTGGCTATGGCTAGCGGCTGCAGCCTCTTCCATAGCCGCGTGTGTAATGTCCAGCCGTAGCCGTAGGCGAATTGTCTTGCTACGGCTTGCAATAACACATGGGCCTATGGAAGCAGCCGAAGCCATTCCCCATTTTTCTTCATTAATTGCTTAAAGGGAATATACATCATTTGCTTTTGCTGTAATTTTCAGAAATGGATGGAATTGGGGGGCTGGAAATATATAGCAAATATAGTTACACTGACTTTTTTGAGGTTTTGGGTTCATATAAGAAGAAACAGAGCAGTTTACATATATTGGGGAATTGTAAGGTCAGGGAACCAGTCTAGCTGGCTTGTATCCGTTCATAGATGTGTAATCGATTGCAAACAAGTGCGATGGTCAACTGGGGCCAGTATTTGAAAAAAAGCCAGTTTTTTCCAACGCTGATCGGCCGATCAGCGTTGGAAATTGATACAAAAATACCACTTTTCTTGAAAATGACAGTATACCAGGTGCCATGATTTTACAGGATGCTTTACACTGTCATTCACTAACAGTCCAGCAAGGTATTTCAAAATGATTTGGTAGTTTTATTTTTTGATGTTTGCAAATGTTGTATTTTCCCTTTAAGGCTTGCTGCATTTGGCAAGCGATAGTTCCAAAATATCTTGGCCGAGAAATTGTTATATTCATATTCACAAAAAAATTTGCAATAGTTTCATGTTGGCAAATATTTCTTCTTAAGTCATTCACTTAACATATTAAGGGCCTGCCTCAATTCGTAGCCGGGACGAGTTCTGGACAAGTTGCGGGTAGAATCGTTCACTTTGTCCGGAAGAAGCTCTGCATTTGTCCCGGACATGTTCCGGGGAGATTTTCATCAGCAACTGCTTGACTTCCCAATACTGTGATAACTTCATTGCGGGAAGATTGCCGGGAAGTTGTTGAGAATCCTACAGTTTATACCCGATACAATGTCTGGAACTTGTCCGGAACTCGTTGTGGATGTGAATCGAGACGAGCCCTAAAAAAGTCACTTTGAACCTCTGCTCTTTGCAGATTGACCCAGTAAGGACAATATCAGCTGGCAAAGTCAACCTGGGCGCCTTCAGAACCTATCCAAAGGTATGTACATGTAGACGAACAGGGTGTGTCAAAAAAAGGGTGAGAAAGTGAAAATTATGGACTTGAACACTCAGTGTGGTCACATCTTAACCCTAACCCTGCCAGACACAGCACAGTGCATCAGGTGGAAATGTCTGGTGCACTTTGATGCATTCAGCTATCGAAACAAGTACATTAACAGCCAGTTCTGAGACAATGAGAGCTAATCCCATTGAACAATTCCACAGTTGTATCCTGCTGCATTCGGTGACCACAGACTCTGAAGCAGTTTGGCCTTGAGACTTTTGACCTGATGGATCTTGCTACACTTGGCAGGCTTGTCACTTAGAAATGTTGCATGTTGCTGCGTTTCTAGCCAAAATACCCTAGAGGGTTAGGATTAAAGGGTGGCATATTAGCTTTCCATTCTTAACTTTGATACTTGCACGCCTGCAGTCATAGATGACTGAGCGTTCATGATTTCAAAACAAAAGGTAAATGAGACTTGCAGGTTTACATGGTAGACATGAACAAAGTAGGGAACGTTTGCGGTAACACCATGTGAATTTTATCTGTCACAAAACGGAAGGTAAAAATCATCTTTTGCTCAGTTGGGCTGAATCTGAGCAATGAGCTGCCTAAGCAATGCTAGTTGCCACGGAAAAGAGAGGTCCACACTGTCTATAGGATGTGCATTGTTTGGACGGCTTCTGCCACTGCTGATTTAGACTTTTCCCCCGTAAGAGCTGCCTAATTAATATTTCATCTCTTACCCCCCCCCCAATCCCCACCAGGGATACAAACCACCAGACGAGGGGCCCTCAGAGTATCAGACCATCCCCCTCAATAAGATAGAAGACTTTGGAGTTCACTGCAAGCAGTATTACTCGCTGGATGTCTCCTACTTCAAGTCGGCGCTGGATCGCAAACTCCTGGATTCGCTGTGGAATAAATACTGGGTCAACACTCTCAGTTCATCCAGTCTCATCACAGTAAGTCCCAAAACTTCCCTTGCTTAAAGCTTGCTATACCAAACCTTCAAAGAAATAGCAATATTTACTTTAAAAAAATGCCCGTCGGTATCTGCCGCAACTTTTTTCAATTTAAAAAAATCTGGCAACTGCTGATAAATGTGCAATTTTTATTATGCAGTCTTTGTTTTGAATACAGTTGAAGTCAAAGCAAGGTCTATGTCCCAATTTTGACTCCGCAGATGTTCTAATTCTTTTCATGTAAGGGAATGAATTTAAACCCATTTTCATAACGGACAGCAAATTTGGACACCTTGATTTAAAAAAATTGTGAATTAACCTTTTTGCTTGTGTACCGCCTGTCACACGGGCCAAAAATACCATCGCAGGTTCGTACAAATATGTATCAGTGTTGATGTCAATTAATATGGGTTTTGCCTCTTAGTCTTACCAATGTAATGTAAACAAAATGCCCAGTGTCGTCTTGGAGATTGTGAGAAAAAAATTCAGAAACTTTACTCAGGTGGGACTCAAACTCGCCACATTTGATAATTAGCCCTAACAATCCCCATCCTGTCAAACTCCAACACCAGGATTTATTGGAATCTGTTGGAGTGAGGACTGCACTAGTAAACTGATTATGCTTTACATGGGGGCAGGCATACCACCAATTACCAGAGTCCAACAGTTTGGGTGTAGAGTTTACCATACGGTGTTGGAATTTGCAGGAGTGAGGAAGGTTCCTAGTAAATCACTCCAGGGGTTAGAGTTAATCTTGCCAGGGTCATCTTGCTGGAGACAATCTGACATAGCAGTGGGTACTGCATCGATGACGTTTAGGTTTTGGGTGATAAAAATCCACCATTTGGTTACGCCCTTTACCAACAAAGTAAAGAACACTGTATGTTGAGTGCCTTAGGATTTTTCTCTTCTTTTCTCGGTGTTTCAGAATTCTGACTACACCACGGGGCAGGTCGGCGATCTATCGGAGAAGCTGGAGCAAGCGGAGGCCCAGCTGGGAAGAGGCAGCTTCATGGTTGCCATGGATCATGAGAAGAAAGCGGAGGATAAACTGGCGAAAGCCAACAAAGATAGGTAGGAATCTAGGTCCGAGACTTGCTGCACAGATGCCAATCGACTGTGCAGCAGTGATATAAAGCAGTTGCCAGGCACGTGCGTCCTTTTTCAGGTGGAAGAGGAGGTTGATCTTCACGTATAGACCATTATCGTGTTGCGGCCATCTTGATTTTTTTCCCATTCAAATCAACGTAACCAAAGCGAGGCTGGAAGGAAAAATAGTCTGGTTCCTGTTTGCACAAAAACCAGTATCATTCAGTACTGTTATTGGATACAGGGAACATGACTGAAATGGTGGCAGCAAGGTGTCTTAAGTACCGTCTGCCTCCCCAAGGCAACCCGAGTGTGCATTGCTACCCCCCCCCCCCCCCTTAGCACAGTATTCCCAAATATGCTGTCAGTTTTGTAAGAGAACACCTCTATTTTGAATTGAGTTAATTTGTGCAAAATTCTTCAAACTTGCCCGACATTAGAATTTGTAGAACATTTGTTTTAAAAGATCATTAATAACAAGAAATGCGTTCACTTTTTTCTGAAAAAGTCAATTTTTTTGGTTTTGAACTTTTTTTTAATTTATTTGGTTTCTTTTGGAGGAGGGGGGATTGGACAAAGGAATAAAAATACTACCCACATGACCCCGCCCTCTTATCAAAAATTAAACTTTTCCTTGGAAAAGTTAATTTTTAACTTCTTGTCTTTCGTTATTTTTTCTGTAGTTGCAAGACAACGATAGAGGTTATCCACGGACTCACATCACAAGTTATCAAGAACAGACTCTTCAACCAGGTTAACAATCACTGACAGCAGTTAAGTGTGGTTTACTAGTTGATTAAACCAAGTTTTGAAGTTAAACTTACATTTTGTAAATACTAGTATTTGTCAAGAATAGGCTTTTAAATAAATGCAGGCCTTGCTGACTGGGTTTTCCAGTGAATCTTACCGTTAACCAGCTTTTAAACTGGTAGAAATGTGGTAAACCAAGTCTGGCGGTAAACTGGTAGAATTGTGGTAAACCAAGTCTGGCGGTAATTGTGGTAAATCAAAATGTTGTTTATCAGATAAAAACAACATACAGATAAGCCAATCCAGTTGCTGAAAGTAACTCTTGACTTGTATTTAGCAAGGTTAATCCAGTCCTAGTTTAGGCCCCCAAAAAAATAGTTCTGCTTCCGATTACATGGCATTTGAAAATAGGGTAGGTAGCTAGGGACATTTTTTTTTTGCCAATTATTTTTTGTGTACGGTCATATGGAGGCGTCTGCTTGAAGTCGAGGGTAAAAAGGAGAAATTGATGGTTTTGGGTGTTTTTTTCCCCTCATTTTTCCCATAAAAAAATTAGGGTAGGGGCTGTCAGAATAGGGTAGGTAGGGAAACCGGAAGCAAAACTATTTTTTTTTTTTGCCTTGTAGTTAAGCAGATCTGCCAGCATCTTACTATTCATTTATGACTGGAGTGTTTCACATATAATACATATTCATAAATACCTAAGACATTTTACGCATTCCTATTGGTCGAGAGCCCGTCACGTGGCCGGTCTTAAACGGATGATAAAGACATGGCTAGCTGGTCTTAAACACTTTTCCAGTGTCACAATAAAATGTGGACTCCTAAAAATCCAGTGCCTCTTATCGTTTCATTGGTTGAACGTTCACTATCCTCACGTAGGCATGCGCAACACTACCAGGGAGTCAGAATTTAAAGTTCTAAATTCAAAACGCAACGCGCCAGGTGCGTTCTGCGCGACATCGCGCAGAACATGATACGCGCGCGTCAATCTCCATAAAAGGGTTGTTTACATCTTACTCGCCAGCTGAACACTCCATTATTTTGCAAGAGGGATGTTTCAAAAAGCATAAAGTGAATTTGTTGAACAAAATCGGGATGTTTTGAACGAATTCTATGATTTTTTCTTACCGAAAAGGTATTTATGAATGGGAATAAATATGTGCTCCGTCGGTATTTATCACTCTGTTTAAGACCACTTAGAGTCTGGGTGCTGATAATTACCCTCGCCTCCGGCTCGGGTAATTATCAGCACCCAGACTCTAAGTGGTATTAAACAGAGTGATAAAAACCTCCGGAGCACACATTTATTCCCTTAGTAATCTTTCCATTGTTTTAATGAATATATGCACGTTACTGTATGTGACCTAGCTCTTGCTTAAAACAACTCATTTTCACTGAGCTATTCTCTTTGCAAGGAGCTGCACCAATCAAAACATTGTACACCAAAATAGCTTCTGTTTTGGTGGTATTAGTTCCCTTATTTTGGAGAGTTTGTTATAAAGCACTAAACTTGGTCAATTTAGGGACTTTCTCATAATTCAGTTGTTTAAAACGCTGATCCCTGTACACTCACAAGATACCACAGTTATGGCAGAAATATTGTGAAATATTGGAAGTAGTTTTTATACGAATTCCGTTTCCAAATGGGGAACTTGGTCAGTGCTGCCACTGTTTTTTCAGTGACGTGGAAAATCATTTGCCTGAATAAACTTACTGAATCAGTTGATCACGTTAATGATTTAAGTTTGCAAAAAAAAAAAAGATTTTAACGAGTTAACGCTTGAGGACATGTAAACGCAATCTGGCAATGTATATTCACAGGGGTGGGCGACGGGTTAAATCGTTAAGCTCCCCCCCCCCCCCCCCCTCCTTCCGAATCTCCAGCGGGAGACGTGTATGCACGTCATTTGTTCCATTGGTTTCGCACACACCGTGTTGAACTTGAGCTTTTCTGTAGCAAATATCACTCTGTGGCGTAGTCTCGGAGTGTTGCATATGATGAAGTTACGGCGGTGAGAAGTATCGTACATTGTACAAATGACTCAAGAGTCAGTGTCGGTGGTGTTTGACTTAATTTTAAACTTTGGCCGATATATCTTGTCTTTTTTTCAATAATGGTATTTTTCAGCCAAAACAAAATCCTGGCATCAAGTTGTTAAACTCCCATGGCATAGAAAACTGTCAATGTTCTATTACTTGGACTTCACAGAAAATAAACGCACTTGATGAAATACAAATGTCACTGTATTGCAGCATTTTTATTTCATATAGAAAAAAAAAACCTGTTGCCATTCCTACTGGCCACAGTTCGTTGTATAGTTTTAGCATTCCTTCATTAAATGAATTTAAAAAAAAAAGAAACCTACTGAAAATTTAAAAATATAGTAAAATCCGAAAGTTGAGATGTATATACAATATTTAAGTAAATCCTTCACCGCAATCTAACATATTACACTATAGAGATAAATAAGTACTGACAATTAAAAAAAAACACCAACAACGTGGAAGACAATTTTTTGTAGCCCTATTACAGTAACAAAATATGTACTATAAGGAACCGTTAATGCATTCAGGCCTTTGGTTTCTTCAAATCTTAAGATTGCAAGAAAGCATCATTCTAAAAGAACATTTCCACGGCATGACAAAGATTGTTTTCGAGAGTTAAATTTATAAATGAGATGTTGGAAATTGCATGTCCAATTTTGGTACTTTTAAGTCCAATCCTAAAATTTGGGAAAATCTCGAACTGTATTCAATCCTTTCTCTTTAGGTTTCGGCGTCTTACTTGTTAATATCTCATTCAAAAAAAAATTAAAAATAAAAATTGGGAATAAATACACAAATATAGTACTTCAGTAAATTTACAAATTTACAGCATTAATTTCATCAGTCCCCTGAGTTAAATCACCGGAACGGCCGATCCCCAATTTACAAACATCGACCAGCCGAATAGTACGACTGCGACTGCCATGCTAAACACAGCTGGCCAGCTGTACCATAAATGGAGAATATACCCTGTGAGATACGTGCCAGCAAAACCCGCTATAGCGCCACCGCAATTCGTAATACCTGCAGCAAAATGAAAACATCCATAAATGATTCTGATTATTTTTTTACAAAAAATTGAAAACGGACACATTTGGTATTTAAAGAAACAATTATCATATACAAATGTAGGTACAAGGTTTGAAAATATGTCCAAAGCAATCGCTTGTGAACTTGCATTGCAAAAATAATGCAGTTGAATTGTTTGCATAAATTGAAAAAGGCATTTATCAACAGATCCAGAGATGTAACGCTGTCAGTTTCAGATCCTCCAAATTTTGTTTGACAAAATAGAAGCACATGTTCACCTCTTACTTACAAAATGCAATCTATACGTAGTTCATGAAGCCAGTTTTCATGGTGACTGTTTTGAAGGAAGCATAAACCGTGTTTTCCCACTTACCGTAGACAGCACCAGCGTGTTTGGGAGCAATGTCTTGTATATTGACCTGCACCCCTGCGTTACTGAATGATTGACTGGCCACGGCAATGATGATTAAAGTTAAGGCTGTGTTGTATTCCTTGGCAAAGCAGACGGCAATTAGTGATATGGACATTCCTATACAGGATAACGTCTGGGGGAAAAACAAATTCGGATAAAAAAAAACCATCGGAATCCTTCACTTCAAAACAACCGACTCAACAAATTTGCTGAAAATCTGTTTGAAGATCTAGACGTAAAATCAGTGCATTGTGAATGATGTTTCAAATTAAAATTTGCATTGGAAATAAAAATGATATTATATGCTTATATGTATATTTTCAGTTCGTAGTTTTGAAAATACTCACGTGAATACTTTTTCTGCACAGTGCGACTGGGCAGCCCATGGCCAGGAGTTTAGTCGCTACGAAACCCGCGCCAAGTGAGGCTGGAATAGCGACTAACCATGGAAGTACATTAAAGACCCAGCCCTGAATCAACAAAAAACCCATGCATTGTTGAAACAAGTCACTGTTAAAGGGATTATACAACATTTGCAAACATCGAAAAATAAAACTACCAAGTTTTTACGAAATACCTTACTAGGATGTTGGTAAATGACAGTCTAAAGCATCCTGTAAAATTATGGCACCTGGTGTCGAGTCGTTTTCAAGAAAATGGTATTTTTGTATACATTTCCAACGGTGGTCGGCCGACCACCGTTGGAAAAACCTAACTATTTTTCAACTACTGCTCCAAATTTACAATTTTTTTTCAGTCCAAATTGTGTTTGCTATTGGTTACATGTTCATGAACGGGTGCAGGCCAGCTAGACTGGTTCCTTTATCTCACAATTTTCCGACATCTATAATTGATCCATTTTATCTTTAGTGGAGTCAGGGAACCAGACTACATTGTACATAAACAGTTGTGTTTTTCTTGGTTTTTCAAGCATTTTCGAACACAAAACTTCAAACATGTCAGTTAAACAATATATTTGATCTATTATACTAACCCCTCGAATAGTTCATTTCTGAAAATTACAGCAAAAGCCAATGATGTACATTCCCTTTAAAACAAGACATCAAATGATTGATAAACCATGATCAATGTTAAGCTTGCTTAAAAGAAGTGAAATTGCTAGAACTTCCTACCTTTTGACCGGGGAAGACCTCAGTAAAATAAGTCGGCGTCCACGAAATCAAAATAAAGAAGAGGAAATTGGTGCAGCTATGCCCGCATAACACTGCCCTGTATGGTAGTAAAGGGAAGAATGAACCAAAAAAGCATTTCAGTAGAATTCTCTTTCTGTTCTTACTGTGCTGGTTATACTGCCCCAGGGTGGGGATGCGAGTGCTCAAGGGTAGGGACAGGTAATGCCAACAACCATTTCAGACCGATGCTCCACAATTGCGCCAAACTGATGTATTCTTAAGATTTGAATTGAAAGTAGGGGAAAATTTCAACGTCTGAAACAGGCAGTGATCTGGAACAAAACCAGATTTTAGTCAGTGAAGAATTAATACATAAAGTTCAGCCGGCTGAAATACTTTTTGTATTCGTTCGACTCCGGAACGACAATTTGAAATTAATGTTACTTTTTTAAATTACAAATTCATAATTTGAGTTATCTGTGAAATGTCCATTATAAATACAGCAATATAAATGAATTATAAACTATTTCAAAAGAAAGGAAATGTATTCTTTTATCCCGACCCCAGCCTGCCCCCACCCCCAGCCCCCCCCCCCTAAAAAAAGAAAACCGAAATGCTAAAACCTTACCAGAAAGGTTTCTTAGTAATGAGTTCCCTCCACGGGAAGTGACTGCCTCCTTGCATCGTTCCCGTCTCCCGCTCGTCTGTTTTCGTCTTGATTCCGTTTTCTTCATGTCGTCCGTTGTGCAACACATAGACCGTTCTCTTGCTGTGTTTCCGGACGTACCATCGGACGAACAGTCCCCACGCGATTCCCAGAAAGCCGACGAAATAGAAGATGGCCTGCCAATGGAAATACAGCAGCATGATGGATCCTACCGCACCCGTGAAAAGTGTGCTGCAATTTCACCAAAACAAAATATCAATTTTGAAATTTGAATTTCGGCATTAAAATGAAACCAAGGATTCCTCAAAGGATCTTGGACGTGTCGCACTGGGAGACTTTGGAGATAGATTGAGTTACGTTTTGACAATCGATATAAATCACAAAATATCAAAAAAAGATTGGAGTTGGGGGAAAGGGTCTGGGGGCTGGGGGAAGGGTCTGGAGTGGGGATAGGGTCTGGGGGCTGGGTGGGGGATAGGGACTGGGGGCGGGGGGCGGGGCATGAGGAAGTGTTTTGTGGGAGGCGAGAGGACCTACCCTGCTGAAGACGCAGCAAAGATCACTGAGATGACGGAAGGTTTATTGTCCATGTTGACTTTCTTGCTGATTAGGCTGCTCATTGAGGGATAATGAACGCCTGTAAAAAACATTTCTTTTTTAATATTAGTTCTGACAGAAATTCCACTGTGTGTCTACTTTGTATGGGTGCTTGGTTTCACGATAATTTGGCACATATGTTGAAATCTAGTCTACAATTGTCAAGTCCAAAACTTTGGAGTCCACATATCCAAACAAAAATTTCCTCCAGAAATGAAGACTTAAAAATTCTCATTGATTTGCATTAAACAGCATCTTATACCAAGTGAAATTCTTGAAATTTTGTCGGCTGAAAGGTAAGTACAGTTACGTATACCCTGATTTTTTTTAAAGCAAATTTTGTTTGTCATCACAATGCCGTCTCCTTCAATAGTCAAGTGTGAAGTTCACACTTATCCCAGCAGCATGGTCGAACTGTTGGTGAAACTCTCGGGATAGAACCAAGATGTGTTGCCTAGCAACACTCTTCACTCACCCTGCGTGATGCCCAGCAGGAACCGAATAAACGCCATGGTAAAAATCGAGGCCGCTTTGGAAGAGTAGAGATAAGGCACGTGAGCCGTGACGATCGTTACCACTCCCCAGACGAGCGCCGCTCGGTAAAGGACCAAATCGCCGCCGATTTTATCGCTGAGGTAACCGCCTGGGATCTGTGTGCAGGGGTAGCCCCACAAGAAACACGCTAGCACTAGACCCTGGCGAGAAAAGATAAAACCAAGACATTTTTTTTCTCCAAAAAGCCGGACAAGAAAGTATTTTTATTATTTGGCCTAATAGGCCAGATTGTTTACTCCATAACTCGGCTCTTTCTTTACCGTTTCAGCTTTATCCCAACCAAACTCCTTCGCGATGTCGACTGCGCAGAGTGGAAGGATGGTCCGTGCAGAGAAGAGGATTGTGGAACCGACTAGGAGCATGATGGTCCATTCTATTCTCTCTCGTCTATTAAACAATAAAAAGTTAAAACAAAAAAATGATATATTTTTTTAATATTAAATGTTAAAGTCTGTATTTTGATCAGTCTGAACCAGTACCATCCCAGTATCAAAATCATCACAATCACTGAAATCGTCATCATCATTACTGAAATCACCAATGCTTTTTGATTTTTATTTTGATCAGTCTGAACCGTACCAGTACCATCCCAGTATCAAATCATCACAATTACTGAAATCATCATCATCATCATTATTGAAATCACCAAAGCCTTTTGATTTTTATTTTGATCAGTCTGAACCAGTACTATACCAGTAACAAATCATCACAATCACTGAAATCATCATCATCTGATCATAATTTAAATCACCAATGCCTTCATCACCGGGTCAATGACACCTAGGAGCTCCTTGGTCTTTCACCTACCATCACAACCTTCATTATCACCAAAATCATAAACACCAGAATCAACTATCATTGTTATCAACAGTGTTATCTTCAATCACCACCACTGTCACAATTATCTCAATGATCACCATCTATCAACATGACCACCATCATCACAATTATCACCATTGGCAAACTCCTCATCACTAAAAATCACTGTTATCAGGCATCAACATTATTGTTGGCCAATTAACCATCATCAGCATCCTATTGGTACCACCACTATCACCAGCACTCAGCAGTTAAACTCATCTCCCGCATCACCCTTGAACATCATCATCATCATCATCACATGGGCAGATGATGGAGGAATAATTGAGCCTTTGAGGGAGCATAATTGATAAAAACTGACTAAGTGCCATGGCTGACAAGCCTTGCGTGACAACCACGACAAATGGATTTAGGATGAGCTGAGTGATGGAGAGTCATCTCAAACATGCAGTGCAACATCCTAAGTTTCCTTTCTCTTTGAAATCGCCTTTGCTCACAAACATAAACAACAGCTGGGCTGTGTGACATGATTGACAGTTCGAAGTCCACACCTTGTCCACAGAACTGCATGTGGCACATCGTCAGCTTTTAATCGGATCTTGACTGATTTGGACGAAGAATGTAAGCTAGGTGCCGACTTCGACTTCTGCATATTCACAGATAATTAAGCAATGGGTTTCCCCAAACCCAAGAAGGAATCTCAATAGGCCTTCACATAGACACCATCGAGAAGGCGTGACTCTCGAACGACCTGTTTCAATTTACAGCGCCACGTACTGTCTTGATCTGTGCACATTGTACACGCGTATTACGAGAACACATACGTTTATAATGTATTGCATCTGATTCCAGCCGATTCGTACGACCATTATACGACACTGCGAGTCGGTAATCAGACTCACAAGTTGACCTCTATGACCTGTAAACCAGATAAACCGAGTAACCAGTACTAAGCCGCTGGCGTTTTAAAGGTTAAACCGTGTTACACATGCGCATTTAATCAATCCGTGTGCAAGAACTTACTGAAGTGTGGATCGGAGGTTCACGTGTTTTTGTTGACAAGAAAACATAGATTTTCTTCCGTGTTTAGGCGTTTTTCACATGGGATAACAATGGTAATTGTATACATTTCTTCAATAATACAGTAATGGAGATTTAATTGAGATCGGTCTGAAAATATATGTGCCTTTTGAGACCCTGAAAATTAACGTTAGTGTGACTGTCAGACGTCATCAGTGAGTGTAAAAACGTCAACGTTACTTAATTAGAGCATGCCATAGGGCCGCGGCTGGCGAGGTATGAAAAACCAAAAAAGTCAAGTGGCTATTGTTACGGCTGCCGTAACACATTGTGTAAGTTGCATTAGATATGGTTATTGGCAGATGTTTTTCAGCAGCGCCAATAGCCAGGGTTCTAATTCGGATTATAGTTAAAAGGCAATGTTTTTAAACTTAAACTTTAGTTAAAGTTCCCCAAATTTAAAACAGGAATTTTCTTCTTTTCTTTTTGTATTTTTAACTGAAGGCTTTTTGCATTATTGTATTATGATGGACACAAAAGACGTCATTTAATTGAATACATCTAAATGAATTATTAAGTAACACGTACAGTGACATAAAATTATTGTTTACGAAACTTTCTGGTCATGGTTTTGTAGGCCTAGTCCATAAACTATGCTTACGAACAACGATTCTTGTGATGTGACTGTCTTCCACAGTATAAATTTGTCATATATTTTGATTTTTAAATAAAACAATATTCAGGCCTTTGTTTTAGGCCTTAAATTCTAACTAAAAATTAACAAAATGTTGGTGGGGTTCTGTACTTAAATGATTGTTTTGATTGCTGTTGTATCTTATTTCAGCCGGGACGCAAGAAAAAACCCTTTATCGATCGCAAGAATGCAGTCAGTTTTCATCTCGTCCATCGTAGTCAGAGGGATCCACTGCAGGCAGATGAAGACAGCTCCAAGTATGTCCTCTTACAGAAAGAGAAAGCCAAAGAAAAGGTAATGACGAGAAAAGTGATTGATGGTTGGACACGCAGGGTTCTTCTAAAATGCGTCAACAAGCGTCAACAAGCGTCAGCGGTCATTAACAATCATCAACAAATTTTGTATAAGTTTTAGAACATCAAAAGACGTTTTTTTATGGTAGAAATAGTGACAAAGGACAAATTCAGCATATAAAATAAAGTTAAAATTATTTAAAAACATTTTTTTATCGCGAAATGTACGACAAATTTGTCGATTGGTGTTGGCCGCCATCTTGTTTGGATGGCACTGTACACTTCGCGCATGCGTAGTACGGCTCTGTACACTTCACGCATGCGTAGTATGGCTCTGTACACTTCACGCATGCGTAGTACGGCTGGCTTCACGTATACAAAATGGCGGCCACCCCTAACTCGACAAACTGACCAGATTTTATTTTTACGTAAATTTTTCTTGAAAATTTGCGGTAACCAGGAGAAGCTCGAGTCGCAGAAAACTGAAGAGAGAGCCCATGGGGTATTCTACGAAGACGAGTACAATTACCTGCAGCATCTGAAGGAGGTGAACCCAGAATGCGTCTGGTCCGACCCCACGCCTGCCTCATATCAACAACAGAGGGCACCCCTCAGTGATGAAAACGCATCCCAGGTACGTGCGGCGGACGGCGTTCTTTAAAATCCACCAAATGTGGTTTTGGAGGATTTTGCAAGATTGAGGAAGGAAGAGCCTTGCTAATTTTACATTACAAAAGGCTTGATGCAACTTCAAAGTTGAAGTAGAAATCATGTGCCATTTTGGGCAAGTTTGAATAAATATATGTACACTTTGACCATAAATTTAATTAAATTGTAACTTTGATTGTTTTTTTGTTCTTGGTTTTAGATTTCAATGCTTGGGCTCCCAGCCGAAGTGTTTCCATCAGAGATGGAAGAAAAAGTCGGCCTACTCAACAAGGCTGCTCCAGTCAGTGGTGCGTATGACTTGCTCTGGGCCACCCAGAACCATGGAGCCTGTGTCCTGGGCAGGACAGTTTACCTCAATATCTTTGCCTTCTTTTGTTTGTACACAGAGTCCTATGATAAACTACCACAAAACAAATCGCTAAAACCCTAGTCACATATTCACGGTTGGAGCTGCGAATATCCACGGTTTACCAAGAATCAATCGATCACGATGAACTGTCAAGGTTCGTGGAGAAATCGACTTTCTAAAAATGCACTACGGTTTCAGGACGGATAGCCACGACTGTCGTGCGGTTTGTCAAGAATATAGACGGATTGGTGAAGAAAATCGACGGTATTACTAAGAATAATGACGTTAACGCCACGGTTGCCTGCGATTGGGTCACAGATGACCAAGGTTCTCCTACGAATAAAGCATGGATATTCGTAGTACAACCTTAGCAGAACCCTAGCACATCCGGGCATATCCGTAGGACATTCGTAGCAAATCCGTAGCGATTTCTACCACGAATGAGCTACGAATCTCCAAGAATATGCACGAATAGCCACAAATAGCAAAAATAAATACAATTGTACTACGGATGTCCCATGGTTGTACTACGGATTAAATTTCATGACAGTTCACCACGGAAGTTTTGAACAGTTTCAAACTCCCGTAGCCCCTCCACGAATACCCAAGGAAGATGACGGATAGCCACGGATGTACTAAGGATGAATACGGTACTCCCACGGTTTATCAAAAATTTCAAACCGTAGAGATCCATATAGCTCAAAACCGTGAAGGTGTGACTGGGGCATAAAGAATTTTAGTCTGGACTTTGTGATGGATGGCAGGGGAAGCAGTTCTACTTTTGGATGACCCCAATTTCAAGGTTTCATTTTGTTTTCTTTTTCAAGGCCCCCGATTTGATCTTGACCCTGATGTGGTGGCCGCGATGGACGAGGACTTTGACTTTGAAGACCCCGATAACGAACTTGAAGATGACTTTATACTCATGGCACGGGGAGAGGGCGAGGATGGAGAAAGGTAGGGCCTACTGTTGATAATTTTGAAAATCCTGAGTTGAAGTGTCGCAATTTGTATTTACTGTTTCTTTTGGAATATATTTAAAAAAAAATTACCTCAGACTAAAATTTGGATATATCCATCTCTACCAGCGAGGAACATAGCCTGTTGAAGTTTCAGCTCAGTGGACAGAACACTTTTTTCGAGAATTTTAACAGTGAAAACCTTTTGATCGCGAAACACGATTTCTTCATTATAACACCAAAAATCAGTCAATTGACTGATCGTTGGTAATCACCTACATTTCTGATGTCTAAAATGACAGCCAGCCAGATGGAATAATAACACCGAGTTTAGTACCAGTACGATCTTTAATCCAAGTAATAAACTTTTGTGATAAATAGTCGGTTGGTTGCTTCTGGGGTAAATACAAATGATCATATGCCTTAAGAGATTCAAGAGGTGTCGAGCGCAACATATTGGAATACTGGTTCAACTCCAACTTCCTTAACCCTAACAGAACTCAACCCATCAAACCCCAACGGCATGTTTTGTTGGAATCTGTCAGGATGGGTACAGTACCCCTAAACTGACAGTCTTTTACATTGGGTTGACACACCTCCAGAAACAAAGTCAGAAATACGTGTGTGCAGTTTCCCATATGGTGTTGGAATTTGCCAGGATGGGTATGGTTCCTAGTAAATCATGCTAGGGAGTTAGGGTTAATGCAACACATTCTTCCAAAACTTGCTTTGGGTTTTGAATGATATTTGAGGGTTAAGGTCAACTTGTGTCCACTTTTGTGGGATTTTTTATTGAATTCGTGTAACACCTTTTCTTTTTAAGCCGACTGTTTGAAGGCGATGCAGATTATGATGGTGAGTACGGGAGCGACGAAGATTACTCAACAGATGGATTAGAAGACAGTGACGATGCCAGGGATGATGTCGGCGATGATCTCAAGACGTTCCGAGAAGAAGAAACCAAGTCTCACTTTACCAACTACTCCATGACCTCGTCTGTGATGAGACGAAACGAGGGGCTGACGTTACTGGATGACAGATTCGAAAAGGTAATGATTAATAAAAAGCGAAAACTTGTGCTCAAAAAGTGGTCCATGCCAGTCTTATGTCATGCAAAATTAATGTACATTGCCCAAAATAGGTGGCGATATCCTCTAAAATTAATTCCAATATTTTGAAAGAATACATTTCCTAAAGGACTACCTCATCAGACTCAAATGTGTATTTTTTCAAAATTCACAAACCCACCTTAGTATTTTTTTTTTTCTCGCAATCGCCCAGGACAACACTGAGTATATACAGTGTTTATAAAATATGTCGGTGAAGGGCAAGACCCAACATTGAATTTACATCACCCCGGCGTAAATTCCATCTGACGAATTGTGTGTAATTTTTTATCAGATCAGTTGTTTTTTCATTTTGTTCCTCTATAATCAGAAAAATAAAATTGGATAAAGTCTTGTGTAACCATTATTCTGAAAGGGAGATCATATTTTGAAAAGTTCCAATTAATGGTAATTCAAATTAGATTTTGCCCTTCACTGACGTATAAACACTGTATACTCAGTGTGTTATACCTCCCGAATGAAAGTTGGAAAAAATCACTCGGTGGGACTCGAACCCACGACCTCCTGCTTTCTAGTGCAGATGTCTTACCACTCGACCACCGAGCGAGGATGTTTTTCCCAACTTTCACTCGGGAGGTAACACTCTGAGTAAAAAGTGTTTATACATCGGTGAAGGGCAAAACCTAATTTGATTTACATCACCCCAATGCAAAAATGCCATCTTATGAACAATTGTAATTCAGCCTTTAAAAAAATGTGATGCGATCAGGCTAAATGAGTCGTTTGTCGGGAAATTCTCATTTGAAGATTCAGGCCAAAATAGGGCCACTTCATCACATCACTTCATCACATTTCTTGGTGTTCTGACTTTCATAATTTTTGAACTATGGTGTTGAGGCTTGTTAGAGTTAGACACTAGAAGCCTGTATGCATAAATGAAAACAAAAAACACTCACTGGAAGACAGCTGTAACCGAAATCTCCCTGATCCTGTCAAAATCTACCAGAAGTTTTGAAAGACTTTCAAAGATTGAGGAAGGTAGATATAAGCCTTTATTACTCTGATTCAACGTTGGGATTGCATGTTTTTTTGTAGATTTACGAGCAGTATGACGACATGGAGATCGGAGCTCTTGATCAAGATGAAATTGACGGGCATCGAGAGGTCAACGCCGACAGTGCCATCATGAGACAGGTCTTGGATGAATACGAGGCTTCCATACAGAAAACGTCAGTATATTTGGTCACAAACCATCAAAAAAATAATATTTTTATTATTATTATTATTTATTTTCTGGTAATGAAACCAAGGATTCCTCAAAAGCACCCTAGGCACTGTAGCTCTAAAGAAACCTGTAGAGAGGAGACAATGAGAAGAAATGACAGTTTTAGAGGTGGGAGGAAAATCCTTGAAGATTATTCTGGGAACCAGAGTACATGTAGCTGGCTCGCATCCATTCAAGGATGTGTAACCGATTGCAAACAAAATGTGGACTAACTAAATTTGGTAAATTGGGGGCAGCATTTGAAAAAAGTCAAATTTTTTTTCCAATAGTGGTCAGCCGACCATCATTGAAAATTGATACAGAATTCCAATTTTCTTGAAAATGACAGCACACCAGGTGCCTTGATTTCACAGGATGCTTGAGACTATTGTTTACTTTCAGTCAAGTAAGATATTTCATAATAATTTGGTGCTTTTGTTTTTTGAAGTTTGCAAATGTTGTATAATACCTTCAAAAGGCCAAGCTGTTTCTCTAAAAGCGCAGAATAATGGCAGCACCTTGGACTTCACCAACACAAACTCAGTTTTACTGTCTCTCTCCTCAGCACTCTTGGCGATATTAGAAACGAATGCAAGCCTGAAGACGGCGAACGTCTCCAAGCCGATGATGCGAGCGATGATGACAACGACGAAGATGACAATGATGATGACCTTGTCAAAATGACCGTGACGGAAACAAAGAAAGAGGAGAGATGGGATTGTGAGTCCATCCTGAGCACCTACTCCAACCTGTACAACCACCCAACGACCATCAAAGAACCACCTAAGGTGAGTACAATGGTCTCCGTGCGTGGACATAAGAGGGCGCTCTTTAATGTACGCCAGTTTTGTTAATCTATTTAACAGGAGCGTTGGAAGGATACTTAGCGTAAATAAGTATAAATGTGTAATGTTTACCATTCACCCACCATCTGACTGCACAGTCACAGATGGTCAGAAAATCAATCCTGTTCCCCTGCCATGGCTTTATACACATGCTACTCCCCAACAGTCAGATCGTATTTTTTGTAAACAAGTTCCATCAACGGACAAAAGCAGGTCGCTGGTAGTTCCAGCTGGCTTATCAATCACCTACAGTCAAAGCATAGCTGTGGCATGTTACATAAACAGTCACAGCCAGTCAATTGTCCTGCTTCATGTGAACAGGGAGATCTTAACCTCTAAAAAAACAGTCACTTGATTGATTTTGACTTCTGGGACTGCTTGGTTGAATTTGCCAGCCAGAGAGGGAGGATTGATATACCTGTAATGTTGCTACAGACCCATCCAGGCACAGAGTCACTCAACACCCACAGTGGCCCCCTTTAATGGTGGAAGCATTGTGCTTGCTATTGTACAAAACCCCCACTCCATGATAGTTACTCTAAACAGTAACTGGCACAAAAGTTCCAGTTGCATGATTGGAATTTGTGTGCATGGAATTTTTTAGGGTTTTTTTTGGCATGAGAATATTTTTTGAGAATATAATATTTCTGCCTTCTGAAAGGAAGCCTTCGTTTTCATGAAGTGGTTAATTACAAAATAACTGACTGTTCAATAAATTAATTGAATAACGGAATAATTTTTGCACGTGGATTTGAGCTCTGTGGCTGCTACAGGCATTTCTGCATTGGCTTTCTGTAGTTACTGTGTTCAGTGAATGGAAAAATTGCTGACTTTTTCCCGGCGTTTTGCCTTCTCCAGAATAAATCCATCAAGCTGTCTAAGAAGACCGGGATGCCCGTCGACGTCCTGCCGGCACCAGGCCCGACCAAGAAGCAGCAGGAGCGAGAGCTACATGAGGAGTACGTCTTGCCGTCCGTGGCTCCCTCCAGACCCAAGGACAGGAAGGAGACACCGGAGGAGAGGAGGTTGAGAAAACAGGCCGTCAAGCAAGACAGGAGGGTAAGTTGGTCAGTCTGTCTGTTTGTTTGTGGCAAGTAAACAGCAATTCCAGTGTCCCGGATATTACAAATCAGACTTTTTTTTGTACTTTAAGAACTCAGTGAGTAACCTGAAAATGTATTTTTCAAATCTTATACATCCATCATCTGGTAATGGCCAAGGAGATTACAGACTAGGTGTTTTGGATTATTTCTCTGAATCATGAATTAGATGTTTAATGGGCTCTGGCACGGACATTACATTTTCTTCCATGAAGCTGGAATTGCTCAAAACAAAACTGAAGAATTGGAAGAGTTTATGTGATTTGTTCCTTGGATTGTGTTTTGTCCTTGCTTTTGTCTTTGTTTTTTCCTTTGTCATATTCTGGCTGTCGATAGCAGGATAAAGCCGGTTTGAAAGTTTATCATTTTCAATATATGGTTTTGCCTTTCACATAAATTTTAAAAGCACTGTATGCTCAGTACTCTTTGAAGGTTGTAAAGAAACTTTGAAAAAAATTGCTTGGACGGTACTTGAACCTAGTAATATTAAATTGGTCATAGGCAAAACCAGTGTTGAAACATTTTATCAAATTGTTGCACAGTAATCTCAAAAAGCTTATGAATTAAGAACATTTGTGTGAGACTTTTTCAAGGTGCGATAAATTGCAGACTTGGTCTTTGTGCAGCTTGTTTTTGAATTGTGTAAAGAGGCCATACATATGTGAGTTCTAAAATTGGTCTCTTTTTCCTCTTGATCTAGGACCGACGGCTGGAGAAGAAGGCTAACAAGCAAGCATTCAAGGATGAAGAGAAGAGACAGGGGCAAGCTATGATAAACCTGAAACAGAATATGCAGGGAATCAAAATAGTATGAGCAAAAAAACTTGCAGGGGTCTAAATATAGATGGAATTTTCATTATCTCAGAATTGTTCATTACATCAAAATGAGCGGCAGCGCAATGAGCATCGGTCTGTATCGTCAGAACAAAGTTATCAAGGGGGGCCAGAATAGTTTAAACAGACTATAATTACATGCATTTTGCTTTAAAATTAGTCATTTGGAAATAATTTTGGATTTTTATAATGATTTTTATCAAAACTGATTCCATCATTGCTGAATTGCAGGACAATAATCTATTTCATTTCTCACAAATGTTGGATCTTTTTGAAGAAAATATAAAAATCATTTTTTCTTTACATCTCTTTTGCACAATTGCGTGCAAGGTTTGTTACGATTAGTGTATCAGAGGAGAGTCGGCTATCTTTTTATTTTGTGGCAAGTTATTTTTTTCAGGACCGAAATGTTTGGATTTCAATATTGGATGCCATACATAATAATACTCATGATGTAAGATTTTAATTTTTTATGATCAAAAACTTCCGGAAAAAAAGTTACTATGTAAATATGTATGATACAAGGTAAAATTTCATGGTCGATAGTAAGTTATGCCTTTTTGTCAAAGAAATAAATCCAAATGTTAAAATTTTGGAAAAAACAAATTTACCGAGTTGTGAGTGATTTTCATGTCTCAGATCGCCAAAAAAAAAAAAAAAAACCACCACCACAAAAAAATTGTTGTCAGATTTCATGTCACGTTTTTGAAGTTTGCAAACATATTTCAAAAATTGTGAAATTTGGACCTGAAAGTTCCAAACACTTTCCCTCTTTTCCTCTAGAAATTTCTTAAATTTGCAGAATTCTTGAAAATCATGTTCTGACAAAAAATTACTTATTTTAGTGTTTGCAATCACCTTATACCCCATTAAAAATGTTCCATAAAAAAAATGTTCTGAACCTTGCCTTAAATGCAGGTAAATTTTTGAAATTTAAAAATAAATTGACCTGAAAAACGTGACTTGCGCAGCCTCAAAAGCCTTGAAAATCTTGATGCTAATAATTTTATCATTCATATCAACTTTTCCGACCTGATAACAAGGCCAGTCGATAAGCTTAACCAGAATGGAAAGCCACTCCAACATTGTCAGCGAGAGTTGTTTTTGAGATCAGTACCATCTGTTCACATCATATAAGCCTCTGTACTGAGGACATCACACTTTGTTTATATGTGCACTTTCCTATGGAGCCAGTGGGGGCCCACGGTCCACTGAGCACCATAGGAAAGCACACACGTAAACAAAGTGTGACGTCATCAGTACAGAGGCTTATTGCTTAAAGAGGTTGTGGAATGCTCAAAGACATTTCCGTCATTTTTCGGGTATATGTAGCCTAAGGTGTGATGAAACAAAAACAACTATTGTGTCTGTCATGAATTGAGTACAAAAGGTACTTTTGAGAGCTGTTTTTCAGGTCCTGTTTCGACCCGAACGTGCAATTTGTGTAAAAGTCATCGTTGGGGGCAGCAAACAAAACATAGTAAATCGTGACGTAATAAACAGGACTCCCGATGCAGCGTAGTATAAACAAGTCCTGTTTATTACGTCACGATTTACTATGTTTTGTTTGCTGCCCCCAACGACGACATATACCTGAAAAATGACGGAAATGTCTTCGAGCATTCCACAACCTCTTTAAGCGCAGCCAAATCATTTTGCAAAAAAAAAATGAGCTGAGTGTGGACATGACCTTTGCCTCAGATTAATGTTGAATTTCCCACAATTATCCCTTTGTGCCCTCGTTTTGTATCACGAGTTCAGTTTACCAAGCTGATTTCAGGTGAAAAGCCTTTTCTTTAAGTAGTTCTTCAAATGTCGGCTGTCAGACTATTGGTAGAATTATCAGTCGTTAATCAAGGTTGGGGCATCAAACTTTAGTTAAGCTTACATTTTCTGAGTAACAGAGTCTGTTATCGTTGTTGCGCCTGTAATGTTTTTTCCGCCAGCTTGCATATATCAGTCCAAAAACGCTCAGAACCCAACTGACTTTTTTGTCAAGATATACAGCTTCAGTGATGACATATGCTTAACTGCATTTTGTTTCTCTGTATGAGGAAACGTTGGCCCTAAATTTCATCATCGACTTGGTTCTAAGTTTCTTTGGACTTGGCTGAATTCAATAGCTTAATAATGTAATTGTTGATCACTGGAAAATGCATTGCATGAAAATTATGTTGCTAAAGGGCAAGACCTATTGTGAACTAAAAGAAAAGACCCCCCCCCCCCCAAAAAAAAAGAAATAAATAAATAAAACAAAAAATAAAATTTTAAAAAAGACAAAAAGAAGACAAAAGACAAGCACTGTCAGTGAAAATAAAGATTCAATTACAGTCGACTCGTTAGTACAAACTCTGTTAATACAAAATTCTGGTTATAACAAACATAAAGCCTTGGTCCCAACTGTGCATTTATGTGCACAATGAATGGGACTGATGTTCCTCTTAATACAAAATTCTGATATAACAAACAATTTGGCTAGGTCGGAACGAGTTTGTTATAACGAGACTCGACTGTATTGAAGTACATCTACAAGGCAACATATGTCAGATTTAAGCAATTGGGAGCTTTTGAGAGCTTCCGAAATAAAGTTGAAGTGAATATCTAGTTCTACTTGGTATTTCAAAAATGAAAACTTCTTTTTCAAATACAAAACAACAAGCACAAAACGCGAACTTGAAATGGCTCAGCGTTTGCGTGATAGTCCCTATCTTAATGCTGTGTGTTTAGCTATCGAGAGATAACCCCTTTTATTGAATTGAGCGAAGATTGACAAGTGCTGTATTGAGAACCGTGGCACCTGGCTTCATTCGTTGTTCCCTTTAAATTCAACTGTTTCTTGTTGCCCGGCTACTCCCTAGTTTGTATCTGCATACGCTGGAAGTTTTTCCTGAGCCATGTAAGTTAATTACACATTTTTAATGTCTTTATAAATGTTCAGCAGGAATTGATTGAATTCCTTTTTTTCATTTTGTAAAAGTGTGGTGGGACTAATGTTTCAATGCTGGCAGAATGTTTCATTTAACACTTGAGAAAATTCAGCTCACGGGTCAAAGTGTCTAGTAGCCCTTGTAGCTTTTACCAATTATATATTTCAGGTACTCTAGGCAGTTGGTAGTTTTCCACAGCTATTGTATCTTGTATTCGTGTTTCATATTCTTTAAGTTGGGTAAGGGTTTTTGAAATATTATTTAGAGGTTTGTTCCTCCTTGATTTTTTTTTTGGGGTGGTGCCTTTAGTCAGAAAGATCCATACCTGTACATCAAATGCAGCGCAGTCTGGCTGAATGCATAGATTTTCTCAAACAAATATGAAAATGAACTGCTGATGTAAACATTGTGCATACAATGAAATTGTTCAGGTCCCATTAACTCAAGTTGTTTGAATTCAACAAAATTGATGTCATTTTCTAAACGTATAATGACAGTTTCTTATGCCCTCCAAATTTTTTTCAAATTATTTTTCTCCCTTTTTATTTCTTGCTATCCTACTTATAAATTCCTGTGCCTGCAAACCTGTAGAATGCCTGTCTTTCCTCTGTCTCTGTCTAGATTTACTGCTTCAAGTCTTCAAGATGCGTGTTCTTCTAGTTCTCTCCCTAGCCTCTTTGGCTGCTGCTACTGCGCCGCTCTATGAGCACGCAGTGGATGGGATTACAGGACAATACATCGTGGCCCTGACGGTACGTTCAAATATTGCCTACGTATAAGAGAGGATTAAACAAACTTTGAACCAGTTATTTTTTTGACAGCCTTATAATTTGAAGTCTGGCATATGTATCTTGAAATTTGTGAAGTTAATTTTTGGAAAAATTTCTTAAATTTGTTTTAAAAGATGGGAACTTTTGTAAAGCATGCGTAATTTGCAAGAAAACTCAATAATTTGTTCCATTTTTTTGGGGTGGGGAGGGGAAATCCTCTTGTCTCCTCGCACAACTGCACTGTTTCACGCCCATCATAAGTGCAACTACCAGTTAAGCAAGTTCAAAAACAGTATGGGATGAACAGTGACAAAAGTAAAGACTTTGTCACATTAGCTTATGTCTCAGAATCCTGACTTGTGATCTATAGAATGAATGACTAGTCTTGTGAGGACTTGTGATGACTTGTGATTGACTTGTGACTTGACTTGTGATGGCTTGTGATTGACTTGTGCGGACTTGTAATGGACAAGTTGTGATTGACTTGTGATGACTTGTGATGACTTGTGATGGACTTGTGATGGCTTGTGATGACTTGTGATTGACTTGTGATGGACTTGTGATGACTTGTGATTGACTTGTGATGACTTGTGATGACTTGTGATTGACTTGTGAGGATTTGTGATGACTTGTGATGACTTGTGATGACTTGTGATTGACTTGTGATGACTTGTGATGACTTGTGATGACTTGTGATGGACTTGTGATGACTTGTGATTGACTTGTGCAGACTTGTCATTGACTTGTGAGGACATTGGCAACAACTCTTTATCTTGAATTCCCCAGAATGAGAGCCCAGCAGTGGATGAGTTCCTTAACTTTATGTCGGAAAGCATGGGCGTCCCCCTCGTGCCCAGCGTACGCTATCGCGGCGGTGCCTTCAAAGGATTTGCTGCTCCGTTAGATGATACCCAGCTGTCAAACGTGAGTTTGTTATGTTATTGTGTTCAGTTACTTCGAAAAATGGGTAATGCAAAAATTCTTTTTGGAATGATTAATAAAGATAAATTATTTAATGTATGCCCAAGCACTTTTGGTGCAGTACCCATGAAATATAGTTTCAAATTTTAATAAATTTAACAAGCTATGGGATTTGAAAGAGTTATCCCTCCAAAAACTTGCCCAAGTCTAGTATCAAATGAATGAACTTTCAAATTTTGTATCAGGACTATCTTGCTCCTCATTCCAAAAACATACAGCACAAATGAAAGCAATATTTTTGAAGGCTATAAATGTGATTTTGAATTGCTATAAGAGCCTAATACCTTGAATTCTGTAATTTCTGGATAAAATTACGGTAGGTTTTATTTAGACAACTGTATGGCTTGGTTTCCCTAGATCCGGAATATGCAAGAGGTTGCCTATGTGGAGCAGGAAGCTGTCGTCCGTGCGCAGTGGGTTGCCTCATGGGGTCTGGACCGAGTCGATCAACGAAAACTCCCATTGGACGGAAAGGCAGACTTCATGGGTAGGACGCTTGATGCATCCCCTACCCAAATACTCAGTCCCCCCCCCCCCTCCCCCCTAGCCAAGGGCAGATCCAGAACACAATTTTTTTTGGGGGGGGGGCAAAAAAAAAGTTTTGTCCCCCAAAAAGTGGCTCAAAAAATGTCAACGTGGGGTTCAGGGCCCGCTTAAGGGCCTCAAATTTTTTTTTTGAATTTTAGATGCTCTCTGGTGCAATCTGAGGCAATTTCTGACTACTTTGACCAAATTTTTTTGGGAGGAAAGATGATGGTGTATGCAGTTCCTGCCTTTATTGAGACGTCACTTAAAAACAAAAAAATGGGTTCCACCCTTGCCCCCAGCACCCTATGACTTTATGGATTCATTAGAGAATTAAAAAAATTGCAATACAATGACATACATGTGCTATAATTAAATTTATGGCTTAAACTCAACCCCCAAAACCATCGTTAATCAATTCTCCCCTCAAAATTTTGGACGACAGCTTTCAAAACAAAATCTTGCATTGTGATGTGCCCCTCTTCATTGCACCTGATGGAGTAGTTGTAGCTACGAAAGCTTATAAAATGCAAACTTTTATGCTTGTAAGTCATTTTAAGGGCTACCTTAATTTTCCATGTTTTTCTGCCTGACTAACATGGCTGCCCACCACTTACAAAACAAAACATGATTTTCATACATTTATATCATCTTGATTTTAACATTAGCTTTGCCTTTTGTATATTATTTCAGGCACAGGCAAGGGTACCAATGCATACATCATTGATACCGGAATCTTCCCGAAAAATCATTTCTTCTCCGACCGTGGCTACATCGCGTATGATGCCGTCCATGATGAGTTTGGGGTAAGGACATGAAGGAGGGAGCGAGGTTTTGAAGTTGGATGGAAAATGTGGGCTGGATGGCCTAGCCCTCGCAGTTGCCACGCGGTGATAAAATTCTCCACATGTTGCCAAATATGGTCATAATTTTTTTTTTCAATGGGCCAATTGAGGCCAAGTTTCCATATAATCCTCACCCCTGGTATACACCACAAGCCTGTAGACTCCCATTGGCCAGACCCTAACCACTGCAGAGTAAGTAGTGTTGAAAGACAGCAGCCCCAAGGTGCCTAATGCCTTTGTGCAGTAATTGGATATCTTAGTGTGCCAACCCCTTTGTGCCACCGATCTCTCTGTGTCAACCCCTCGTGCTGCCCAGAGCTCAGACAGGTCGTAAACAATCCTGGCCCACACAAAGGCCATGTGACTGCCTATATCTTGTGCATGAGGGGGTTATTGACCTAGAAACACGTGTGGTGATAAAATTCTCCATGTGGTTCCCCCGTGTAAATTTTTGGTCTCGTGGCTCCAAGGGCTAAAGTGTACTTTGTACATATTAGTAGCCGGAATTTTTAATCTGTTAATAGTTGTCATGAACAGAGCTTCACTTGATCAAGTCATTTTCATGTCAAATATCATAGGCTGTCCTTCACTCACAGGTCCTTTCTGTCAAATGTCGAGTTCTATTTGTTCAATTAATTTTCAGCCTTTATTTGTAAGGGTATTAAAGTTTGTTTACGGTATTTTGAAAAAAAAAATGACTTGAACATAAGGATTAACTCAAGTCATTTTTCCAGCTGATTTTTCCCCCCAAATATCCACTAGTGATTGCCACCCTACATCATCATACTCAAAGTTCTCATAACTTGTAGTTGCACAAAAAGAAGCTTTAATTTCACTGAATTAAAAAAAGGTAAGTGACTTTCCCTAAAAAAACAATAAACTTTGAAATGATGTAAAAAAGGACTTGGTCAAAAACCCAATCCAAAAATGAGATGCGTGTGAACACTATAATGCATTCAAAATCAGCATTGTTGGGAAAGGTTTTTGTAGGCGATTTGAACATTTCAGAAAGCAAACCACTATGTTTTCTCGGCTGTTTGTTTTAGGGACTGGATTGCAACGGGCATGGCACTCACTGCGCAGGGACTATCGGTGGTGAGGTGTTTGGTATCGCTAGGGAAGCCAACCTGTTTGGAGTCAAGGTGCTGGGATGTGGTGGATCAGGATCAACTGCTGGAGTCATTGATGGTACGACTCGCCTGTCAAATTTCAAATTATTATACTTTCCTTTGGCTGTTTTTCTCCCCCCCCCCTTTTTTTTCATGTGTACAGTCGAGTCTCGTTAATACAAACTCGTTCGGACCTAGCCAAATTGTTTGTTATATCAGAATTTTGTATTAAGAGGAATATGAGCCCCACTCATTATGCACATAAATGCACAGTCGGGACCAAGGCTTTATGTTTGTTATAACCAGAATTTGTATTAACAGGGTTTGTACTAACGAGAGTCGACTGTATCTGCCTGTTTGGTTTATGATCTTGGTCACCCTCCTTTTTGGGATATTTCGTTTCCTGGAAATTAACATAAAAAATTGTCTTTAACACTAAAGCTGTAATTTTGATGTCACTGCTAGATTACGGGTTATCACAAGGAAAAGCAGTACTTGTATTTGGATTCCGGGGGAAAACTAATAAAAATGGAATTTATGGCCTCATTCCCAATAAAAAAATATTAAAATATACTTATCGTTTTAACAAGATGATATTTCTGAAGTAATAAGTTTGTATTCAGAGAATTTAGCCCTATTTTGAAGAAAACATTTGCCAATGATTTTTCCAATCTTGTAAAAAAAAGCCTTAATTCTTCAATACTGACATGTCTGACATAGTGTGCAACATTTATTTCTCAACAAATTTCAGCAACCCACCTCCACAAAAGGTTGGATGTATTTTTTGAAATTTAATTGTCTTTTTAACTTCATGACTATTAGTGTTACCATATGCAAATGAGTTAATGCATCCATCCTTGATTCCTGACCTTTTACAGGAATGGACTTTGTTGCTTCGGAGGGTGAGAGACCGGCAGTCGCCTCCATGTCACTCGGAGGAGGCGCCTCCCAGGCTATGGACGATGCCGTGGCCAGACTCTTTGATGCGGGCGTCACGGTTTCGGTCGCCGCGGGAAACAGCTACGGCGATGCTTGCACTGCATCACCAGCTAGAGCGAAAGAGGTAGGAATGTTGGGAAACAATCAATGTTGAGATATCCTTCTGTTTTGTTTGTTGGGTTTGTTTGTTGGGTTGTTTGTTGGTTGTTGGTTTGTTTGTTTGTTTGTTTTTCCATCCATTTTTTTCTGTGGTGTTCACATTCCTACTTCTTACTCTAGCAGGGCATGCATGGCAAGCGTCTCCAAAGCTGTTTCTCACAGTGACTGTAGGTTGACATGGCAGTAGTTACTTTTAGGACCCCACTATGTTTTGATCTCCCTTGAACAGCTGGAGAATTAGCCACATTTAATTCTGTCTTTCTAATCATGGCTCTGTAGGTGGTTTTTTTTAGGAAGTCACATCCAAGAACCATTAGGTTGACAACTGACATGCACAATGTAACTTTGAAAATAGTAATGGCACAAAAAAAATAGAGTGGTCCTAAAAGTAACTAATGCCTATCTGTAACTAATGCCCGCGTGTACGCCAGCAGATTGTGGCTTTTTCAATGGGGTCGGAAAAATGAATCTAGATCTAGGCCAATTTTTACTTTGATAAATATTCAAAATTGATATTTTTTATTTATTTTAACAATTCAGGATTTTATTATCAATCGGGTCTATAGGTAAATGATTTTGGCTGTATATCTCTTAAAATTACCGAAGTAGAACTACCCTCGATGCAAATGATTATTGATTTTCTGGTTTTGATCACCAGGCAATCACAGTAGGGGCCACGGACATCGAGGATGAAAGGGCCGATTTCTCCAACTACGGGAAGTGCGTGGATATCTTCGCGCCTGGTGTCGACATTCCAAGCTTGTGGAAGGACGGCGACTTTGCGACCAACACAATCAGTGGCACATCCATGGCATGCCCCCACGTCACGGGTAAGTTAGCCTTAAGCAGGCAAGAAATTATAATGATAAATATATATTAGAGAACAAACTAGCTCTGACGGAAGTTCGAATCCTGCTTATTTCTGGGTTGAAAGATCACTTTGTTACAAAGTGGCTTGCCCAGGGACACAGGTACTGCAGCTCCACTGGCTGGACTCAAACCAGCAGTCTCAGTGTATTCAAAACTAACAGCTCAGTATATTTTCGTAAGATCTGGAGTTTTGGGCACATGTTTGATAATAGGATTGTCCCATGAACTCAAAATGAACCTACTTTTCTGGCGACCACAGATTTGACTTTTACTTGTTTATTTTAATTTTTTTTTGGGGGGGGGGGGTTGGGAGGAGTATGTGGTTTGCAACACATTTTTTGAAAGGTTGGATTTTTTTGAGGATTAATTTCTTGTTGGGGAATATATGAAAATGTCCAAACCTTGCTAAATTAAACAAATCCCATTAAAAGAAATGATGTCCTGTCTGTAAAATTTGGCTCTTGTTTTCAGACTTTACTGGTACCCACAACCTCATCCAAAGTGCTGGTACCAGCTAAAACCATTGAACTTGCATCATTATGGATTAGTTTTTACTTGTGACTAAGACTACTACATATCAAGTCAAATCTGTTTTTTTAACATGTAGGTGGCGCAATCCTGGCTGTTGGCAACAATCCTGAAATGACGTCGGCGCAAGTCAAAGCTGAGATCCTCAAGAACGCTACGCCAGACGTCGTGAAGAACCCTGGGCCCGAGTCCCCCAACCTCATGCTCTACATTCCCTAGATAAGGTGTGTGTGGTGAAAACCTGTAAATATGACAAGATAAACTTTGTCAAACCAATAACTGGAGTAAGTGCACATCATAATTGGGTAATTTTATAAATTTGGGGCCCACTTGTTTTCCTAATCTGGTACAAGGTACCCTGTGGAGACATGTGCATAATGGGGAACCTTTTGTTCCCTATTATGCGTCTCCACAGGGCAACTTCTATAGGTGAATACGTCTCCACAAGGTTTTCACGAAATAGATATATGGATTTTACTCAAAAACTAGGAATTTCCAAGGTGGGTTGATGTGTCGCAAATTGAAGTATTTTATGTAAGGGATATTAAGTCCGAATTTCAGCCCAGGAAATTAATTCTGGTTAAAATAGGAGCATTTTGAAACTAAATTTTCACATTCTTAATTGTTAGTACACAAGAACAAAGAAATGACTCCACAAGGATACACATTTCAGTATGGGTGTCCCTGTTGCACCTGATATGATTGTTATAATTCCAATGCATTCCTTAATGCAGTCATCCTCCAAGAGTGATTATGAATACTGAACTACGTACCCAACAAATAATAAATCGTTGGAAGTCATTCTTAATGATACTTGAATGGCAAATTACAAAGTACCAAGGTAACAGGGACAGGAAAAATGTCACACTTTGGACCCTTCTTTCAAAGAGGGACCTTTTTGTAGGGAGTAAGTACTTATCCACTTCAAAATTTTTTTTGTTTACAAAAAGCAGATCATCTAAATAATCTCTCCAATTTTCTGACTAGATTTCTGTCTTTATTTTTATATCTTTTGCAGGCAATTTTGACGGAGATGAAGAGACCATGTGTCGATCTTCGGTCCTATTTAAACTGGAATTTAATCCTTCCACGAAATTATCAGTCAATGTGTCATAATGAAACTAGAAAACGACATTCAGTTTGTTAGTCTCAAGTAAAACAAAAAAGGTGTTTTTTTTGCATTTAATAATGCAAACTTTCTAAAAATTTAACGTGAACTAAATACTTTCAAGACTTCAATATACCATCAGTCACAATGTGTTAGCACAAGTTGAAATGTTGTCACTATCATTACAGAAATTTGTAATATTTTTTTGACTATTGTAATATATATTAGATATTGCATTAGTTGTTACAATGAAATAAAAATCAACTGAAATATATCTCTCCTGTATATGTAATGTTATTAGTTTCCATTTGTGCAGTTTTGTTTTTATATGATTTTTTTTAAACGATATATCCGTCCTAAATGGAGTTGGAATGTGTTCGAGGGTCCCTTAGGAGTCTTTCCAGGTAGTTTGGAGCAATTTAATTTTTTGACCAAAATTGACAAAAATTGCAAGGGGTTAGCCTTACATTTTTAATGAAATTTGGCCAAAATATGAATTTTTTTATTCAATATATCTGTCCCTCAATGGAGTTGGAATGTGTTCGAGGGGCCCTTAGGAGTCTTTCCAGGAAGTCTGGAGCAATTGAATTTTTTGACCAAAATTGACAAAAATTGCAAGGGGTTAGCCTTACATTTTTAATGAAATTTGGACAAAACATGAATTTTTTTATTCAATATATCTGTCCCTAAATGGAGTTGGAATGTGTTCGAGGGGCCCTTATGAGTCTTTCCAGGAAGTCTGGAGCAATTTAATTTTTTGACCAAAATTGACAAAAATTGCAAGGGGTTAGCCTTACATTTTTAATGAAAATTGGCCAAAACATGAATATCTTTTATTTGATATTGCTGTCCCTCAATGGGGTTGGAATGTGTTCGAGGGGCCCTTAGGAGTCTTTCCAGGAAGTTTGGAGCATATTCATTTTTTGACCAAAATTGACAAAAATTGCAAGGGGTTAGCCTTACATTTTTAATGAAATTTGGCCAAAATATGAATTTTTTTAATTCAATATATATGTCCCTAAATGGAGTTGGAATGTGTTCGAGGGACCCTTAGGAGTCTTTCCAGGAATTCTGGAGCAATTTAATTGTTTGACCAAAATTGACAAAAATTGCAAGGGGTTAGCCTTACATTTTTAATGAAAATTGGCCAAAACATGAATTTTTTTATTCAATATATCTGTCCCTCAATGGAGTTGGAATGTGTTCGAGGGGCCCTTAGGAGTCTTTCCAGGAAGTTAAGAGCATTTTCATTTTTTGACCAAAATTGACAAAAATTGCAAGGGGTTAGCCTTACATTTTTAATGAAAATTGGCCAAAACATGAATATCTTTTATTTGATATTGCTGTCCCTCAATGGAGTTGGAATGTGTTCGAGGGGCCCTTAGGAGTCTTTCCAGGAAGTTTGGAGCATATTCATTTTTTGACCAAAATTGACAATGTTGCAAGGGGTAAGCCTTACATTTTTAATGAAATTTGGCTGAAATATGATTTTTTTTTATTCAATATATCTGTCCCTAAATGGAGTTGGAATGTGTTCGAGGGGCCCTTAGAAGTCTTTCCAGGAAGTTTGGAGCATATTCATTTTTTGACCAAAATTGACAAAAATTGCAAGGGGTAAGCCTTACATTTTTAATGAAATTTGGCCAAAATATGAATTTTTTTATTCAATATATCTGTCCCTAAATGGAGTTGGAATGTGTTCGAGGGGCCCTTATGAGTCTTTCCAGGAAGTTTGGAGCATATTCATTTTTTGACCAAAATTGACAAAAATTGCAAGGGGTAAGCCTTACATTTTTAATGAAATTTGGCCAAAATATGAATTTTTTTATTCAATATATCTGTCCCTAAATGGAGTTGGAATGTGTTCGAGGGGCCCTTATGAGTCTTTCCAGGAAGTCTGGAGCAATTTAATTTTTTGACCAAAATTGACAAAAATTGCAAGGGGTTAGCCTTACATTTTTAATGAAAATTGGCCAAAACATGAATATCTTTTATTTGATATTGCTGTCCCTCAATGGAGTTGGAATGTGTTCGAGGGGCCCTTAGGAGTCTTTCCAGGAAGTTTGGAGCATATTCATTTTTTGACCAAAATTGACAAAAATTGCAAGGGGTTAGCCTTACATTTTTAATGAAATTTGGCCAAAATATGATTTTTTTTAATTCAATATATATGTCCCTAAATGGAGTTGGAATGTGTTCGAGGGGCCCTTAGGAGTCTTTCCAGGAAGTCTGGAGCAATTTAATTTTTTGACCAAAATTGACAAAAATTGCAAGGGGTTAGCCTTACATTTTTAATGAAAATTGGCCAAAACATGAATTTTTTTATTCAATATATCTGTCCCTCAATGGAGTTGGAATGTGTTCGAGGGGCCCTTAGGAGTCTTTCCAGGAAGTTTGGAGCATTTTCATTTTTTGACCAAAATTGACAAAAATTGCAAGGGGTAAGCCTTACATTTTTAATGAAATTTGGCCAAAATATGAATTTTTTTATTCAATATATCTGTCTCTAAATGGAGTTGGAATGTGTTCGAGGGGCCCTTATGAGTCTTTCCAGGAAGTCTGGAGCAATTTAATTTTTTGACCAAAATTGACAAAAATTGCAAGGGGTTAGCCTTACATTTTTAATGAAAATTGGCCAAAACATGAATATCTTTTATTTGATATTGCTGTCCCTCAATGGAGTTGGAATGTGTTCGAGGGGCCCTTAGGAGTCTTTCCAGGAAGTTTGGAGCATATTCATTTTTTGACCAAAATTGACAAAAGTTGCAAGGGGTAAGCCTTACATTTTTAATGAAATTTGGCCGAAATATGAATTTTTTTTATTCAATATATCTGTCCCTAAATGGAGTTGGAATGTGTTCGAGGGGCCCTTAGGAGTCTTTCCAGGAAGTCTGGAGCAATTTATTTTTTTGACCAAAATTGACAAAAATTGCAAGGGGTTAGCCTTACATTTTTAATGAAAATTGGCCAAAACATGAATTTCTTTTATTTGATATTGCTGTCCCCCAATGGAGTTGGAATGTGTTCGAGGGTCTCTTAGGAGTCTTTTCATGAAGTTTGGAGCAATTTCATTTTTTGACCAAAATTGACAAAAATTGCAAGGGGTTAGCCTTACATTTTTAATGAAAATTGGCCAAAACATGAATATCTTTTATTTGATATTGCTGTCCCTCAATGGAGTTGGAATGTGTTCGAGGGGCCCTTAGGAGTCTTTCCAGGAAGTTTGGAGCATATTCATTTTTTGACCAAAATTGACAATGTTGCAAGGGGTAAGCCTTACATTTTTAATGAAATTTGGCCGAAATATGATTTTTTTTTTATTCAATATATCTGTCCCTAAATGGAGTTGGAATGTGTTCGAGGGGCCCTTAGAAGTCTTTCCAGGAAGTTTGGAGCATATTCATTTTTTGACCAAAATTGACAAAAATTGCAAGGGGTAAGCCTTACATTTTTAATGAAATTTGGCCAAAATATGAATTTTTTTATTCAATATATCTGTCCCTAAATGGAGTTGGAATGTGTTCGAGGGGCCCTTATGAGTCTTTCCAGGAAGTCTGGAGCAATTTAATTTTTTGACCAAAATTGACAAAAATTGCAAGGGGTTAGCCTTACATTTTTAATGAAAATTGGCCAAAACATGAATATCTTTTATTTGATATTGCTGTCCCTCAATGGAGTTGGAATGTGTTCGAGGGACCCTTAGGAGTCTTTCCAGGAAGTTTGGAGCATTTTCATTTTTTGACCAAAATTGACAAAAGTTGCAAGGGGTAAGCCTTACATTTTTAATGAAATTTGGCCGAAATATGAATTTTTTTTATTCAATATATCTGTCCCTAAATGGAGTTGGAATGTGTTCGAGGGGCCCTTAGGAGTCTTTCCAGGAAGTCTGGAGCAATTTAATTTTTTGACCAAAATTGACAAAAATTGCAAGGGGTTAGCCTTACATTTTTAATGAAAATTGGCCAAAACATGAATTTCTTTTATTTGATATTGCTGTCCCTCAATGGAGTTGGAATGTGTTCGAGGGTCTCTTAGGAGTCTTTTCATGAAGTTTGGAGCAATTTCATTTTGTGACCAAAATTGACAAAAATTGCAAGGGGTTAGCCTTACATTTTTAATGAAACTTAGCCAAAATATGAATTTCTTTTATTTGATATATCTGTCCCTAAATGGAGTTGGAATGTGTTCGAGGGGCCCTTAGGAGTCTTTCCAGGAAGTCTGGAGCAATTTAATTGTTTGACCAAAATTGACAAAAATTGCAAGGGGTTAGCCTTACATTTTTAATGAAACTTAGCCAAAACATGAATTTCTTTTATTTGATATTGCTGTCCCTCAATGGAGTTGGAATGTGTTCGAGGGGCCCTTAGAAGTCTTTCCAGGAAGTTTGGAGCATATTCATTTTTTGACCAAAATTGACAAAAGTTGCAAGGGGTAAGCCTTACATTTTTAACGAAATTTGGCCGAAATATGAATTTTTTTTATTCAATATATCAGTCCCTAAATGGAGTTGGAATGTGTTCGAGGGGCCCTTAGGAGTCTTTCCAGGAAGTCTGGAGCAATTTAATTTTTTGACCAAAATTGACAAAAATTGCAAGGGGTTAGCCTTACATTTTTAATGAAAATTGGCCAAAACATGAATTTCTTTTAGTTGATATTGCTGTCCCTCAATGGAGTTGGAATGTGTTCGAGGGTCTCTTAGGAGTCTTTTCATGAAGTTTGGAGCAATTTCATTTTTTGACCAAAATTGACAAAAATTGCAAGGGGTTAGCCTTACATTTTTAATGAAACTTAGCCAAAATATGAATTTCTTTTATTTGATATATCTGTCCCTAAATGGAGTTGGAATGTGTTCGAGGGGCCCTTAGGAGTCTTTCCAGGAAGTCTGGAGCAATTTAATTTTTTGACCAAAATTGACAAAAATTGCAAGGGGTTAGCCTTACATTTTTAATGAAAATTGGCCAAAACATGAATTTCTTTTATTTGATATTGCTGTCCCTCAATGGAGTTGGAATGTGTTCGAGGGGCCCTTAGGAGTCTTTCCAGGAAGTTTGGAGCATATTCATTTTGTGACCAAAATTGACAAAAGTTGCAAGGGGTAAGCCTTACATTTTTAATGAAATTTGGCCAAAATATGATTTTTTTTTAAAACGATATATCTGTCCCTAAATCGAATTGAAATGTGTTCGAGGGTCTCTTAGGAGTCTTTTCATGAAGTTTGGAGCAATTTCATTTTTTGACCAAAATTGACAAAAATTGCAATAACATTTTTAATGA